TTGTTGAATTTTTTGTCGCTTATGGTTTAGTTACTATGTACGCTGCCTCCCGGTCTATATTTCCGCTTATTGTTGTTTTTGATATTTTCAAAGATAAGTGACATATCTTGCAAAAACGAATTGATTGAGCGGTTGCCACGTTACTATTTCAAATAGGCCCAAGGTCCATTGGAAAAGGAGCGGAAAATATGAAAATGGTTTTTCCGATGATTTTTCAATATCCCTACAGATAGGTACTTATTAGCGAGGGTATAGGTTATTTCAGCAGGACAATCGAAATTGGTACACACTGTATAGCACGTCTTGTCTGTAATCAAGAGAAAGATGGAGAGGGCCCATCGAGACAATATGTTTTGACATTTTCAACGGTTTCAACGAAATTGATGACGAAGCTTCGCACTAGCAACGCCATCAGAAAGACAGCAAGGTTGCACTAATATACATCGGTTTCCTTGCGTACCTCACAAGATCCGAATCAATGATTTTATATTCTGAGAGAAATAATTACGCGAGTAATTATAAAGATAGCATCAATGAATACAGAGAACCTGAAGCAACATCTTCAGTGTATTTTAGTATTGTAACGTAAATTTAATTACGTGATTTACAACACATTAACAATAAATGTGTAACAGTATTGAAAAGAATTGATTTATAACAGTTAAAATATTATTTATCACTCACGTCTGTCCTGAAACGCAATTCGATTTGGTTATATATCAAACTCGAGTGTTCTCGAGTGGTTACAAACGCTCTCAAGGAATGTTCTCCAACAAACACGTCACATTTCCCGGGAAGATTGCGTCACATCCGCCTTCGTTCTTTATGGCCGATGACTAATCTTTCATGGCGCTTCGATGTCTATCGGGATTTCTGGAATATTCGCTACAGTATAATGGCAATGAGTATTGGTATACTTCTTGGTACCACTGACGGATCTTTCCAGCGTTCCAATACGCATGTGTTTATATCTGTAGCATGTCTAGAGAGAATTCAATGATTCGGATTTCCGAAATATCATGGATCTGCTGTATGTCACATGATATCCATGAATATCCGTACATATTCATGAATGTCTAAATGCAAACATATCCATAAGAATCTAAGGATGTTCAATGAGATCCCGTCGATTTCAGAGGATGTATAGAGACATCTGGTGGATATCTGTAGATTTATCGGGATTTATACCCTAAATCTCGCCCTAAATACTTAGATGTTTGGTATCCGAAATTTTATCTGTGATTTCCGAGGTGATTTCTCAGATAAATTCCATCTAAAGGACAGCATTTTAAATCGTTGATATGTAGGTATTCAATTAACATTAAACTCCAGGTTTGAATTTTTAAATGGAACACGGAGTGGAACACCCGAGGGAACACCCTATATATTTTTACATTTTCGTATTTCTCAAAAACAATTCTGGATCAGATTGTGATATTTTTAAAACTTTTTACATCTACTTAATTTGTTTTAGAGCAACTGGTAATATTGGATCTAGTTGGGCATGACCGGACATAAACAAATCTAAGGACCTCATATCGAACCTCAGATAATGTGAGAATATTACAATAGCACAATTTTAGTAACTTAGTATGATGTTATCAAATCATTTTATTCTATCAAAAATTATTAAAAATCTGTATTTAATTCAACTGCTAAAAAAACATGATTTGATACAATGAATTGCTTTGACACGACTAACAAAAGCATAACATTTCTTTTTCAACGCAAACTAATGAAACTCGTAGTGAAATTATAAAATTAATTATAAAAAACCATTTTCTTTGTATAATAAATGTTTCTATATCGAAAAAGGTGCGCACTTTAAAAATACATAATAAAAAATAGTGGTTATTAAAAAATATATGTCTCTCCCGGTCTCTCCTTATATTGCAGACGTCACTGACCACAATTTTAAAGTACATATATAAGTAGATTAGTAAGTAGATTGGTAGCAAACTTTTTATAATTTTGGATACCATGAGGTTTGAAGCGAGGTTTGAAGATATATTCTGAGATACATTCAGTGTTCCAGACAAAATTTCCCCTGTATTTGAATTTTTATGTCAATATTGACGTTTGCAGTTCTAATCATAATTGACAATTTTTTCCTTATTGCGAGGCTTATTGATTGTAAGTCGGATTGTAATGGAACTCTATTTAAATAGCATTTTCCCACCACGCCACGTAAAATCTACATCTTTTTGGAATCAAATTTGCAAACTTCAATCTCGACTTCAATACCCATAATCGACATAATCGAATTTTTTATGATCATTTAATCAGATTATCGACTTAAATCGTTATTTTTTTGTTATTTGCGAAATGTTCAATTAACTAAATGCGAAATTAGATCTCTCACTAGTAGAAGGGGGACACTTTGTGATCCGAAGGCCCAATCTTCAAATGGTTATAACTTTTGTTTGAAAAGTGATTTTAAAAAAACTCGTCGACACTTTTGTTCCTTTACTCATCAAGTATGTTATATGTACACAACAAAGTTCGTGGAATTCTCTCCATTTTCGTTGTCCGATCAAGAATTGCAGTGGAATTTTTTTTCGAATTTTCGAAAACTAATTTCATATTCGTGATGTTCATGTTCAAAAATCCGCAGATCCCAATTTCGTCGAAATCAAAAAATTTTTTCGCACCCCCATTTAGGGGTGCGGGGTTTTGGGGTAAGAATTTTGAAAATTTTTTTACAGAATTAGAAATGGCATACCCAAAAACTTATTCAAAGACGTGCCACCGGTCTTTCTAACTCTTATGGTTGCTGAGAAAAAAATTAAAGAAGAAATGCAAATTTCACCACTTTTGTGTAGTCTCAGTCATAATTTTTTTGTGAGATATTCTCATTAGTAACAATCTGTAAAATTTTCACTTGTTTTCATTCAGTCCCTTCTCAGATATTGACCGAAGAAAATTGACTTTACCATACTTTCGGCCATTTTTGAAAAGTCATACAAAAAAAGGAGTGCATTCTCAAGACTAAAACTTTTGCTGCAAGTAGTATTATAAGTGCTCCACAGAGAAATATATTATTAGTGAGTCTCTTCTCCTTCCTAAAAATGTGTGGCCTTAAAATGTAACGAGTCACTAGTTTGTTTTTTATTTTTTTGAGAATGGTTCTAACCTCAGTTCTAACTGACTTTCTTGCATGATGGGGAAATTAAAATACCTAATGGAAGTTTTCGATCATTTCATGCTGAACACAGGAGTCTGAATTATTTTGATATCTTAAAAATAACTTAGCAATAAAACTTTCCGCAAATCCCGTTTTTCCATCAAATTCGCGAAACTGCCATTTTAAAAATGGCTGCCAGAAAATACTATGGCTTATAAAATTTTTTCAAATAGTGGTTTGTGATTGCCTACCTATAGGGAACCCATGACTTGAAAACCAGAAAAATAAAAAATGTTCAGCAACTCCTGCCTGGGCGATTTGAAATGGATTGACCCGTGCCAAATATACACTGAAATATAAAAAAAACAATACATACTTAATTCTACTCTAACAAGATTTTCGTATTCAGTCATCGGTTTAACTTTTTCTTTATACACATCAACAAAAATTGAGTAAGGAATAGAGACCCAAAATTCCAAATAAACCACATAAACCATATTCAAAATTATATCTCTTAAACGTTAACGTCCCACAATTTTTTCATTAATTTTATTCTACCCTCGGAGAAACCATAACAGACAGAACGATACAATGTATAATGATTCTGTAAAAAATGTTAAAAATTATAACACCCTAATCTGGGGTGAGAGAAAATTCTGGGAAAAAAAAAAGATTGAAAGAAGAAACAGAAGAAGAAACCCAAAGTTGAGTCTTGGAAACAGAATTTTTGGGTTTCCTATAAAACCAATTTTTTACATATCTGATTTTTTTGGATTCCTTAAATCAGAATAATTATTTTCCTCACTTTTATTTTTCAATCTTTTTTGTTTAGATCTATTATTATAAATTCCACCACCGCATTTTAATTTATTGTTATGTAGGTACCGAGGGGGAAACCACTCTTTCAATTTGGTGTACATGAATTTTTCATTCCAGTTTCATTCCATTTTCAATCTTTCAATATTATCATTATCAGTTTCATTACTTTCAATCTGTTCATTCTCTTTTCATTCTATTAATTCTAAGATTAATTCTTTTTCATTCTATTAATTCTCTTCATTTATTTTTCATTTCCTCATTTTTTCTTATTACGGTTATAAATATTTTTCATTAACGGTTTCATTATTTACAAAAACGAATAGTTCATTTTCAATTCTTACGATTTCATTCTTTCATTATTATTTCAATCTTTCATTACACACTTCAATCCTCTCATTATTTCCATTTTCAATCTGGTGTACAAATTTTAAGGAAGTGGTTTCCCCCTCGGTAGGTACCTACCTACTTACTATAAATCGAAGTTGGTCTATGAAATTGCTTCTAAAATCTTAAAAAAAAAAGGTATAATTTGGTGCTCTTAGGCTCAGAGACAAGCAAGCCCAAATGTTTTGAAAGACAAGTCAACTGATATAGCAATCATAGTACTGAGATTTAAAATAAGGTAGCAAGGGTCATCCGGTATCTAATCTAATAGGAAGTGGCATACTCTCGGGCATACTACAGGGGACATAAACTCAGAACAGCATGCCTTTAGATTAGCGAGAATATGAATGCTTGTTCCTTTTTCGATACGGTATAAGCCATCAGAAAATACAATAATCATACATTTTGCAATCATGGGATCCCAAATTTCTGCAGCTTCATTATACACAATGCGAACGGGTCAATCATAGATATCAATATAATAACAATACACTGTGAGACCTTTTCCCCAAAATATACCCACATTTGGCGACGTTGACGTAGGTCAACACATTGTAACCATTATGAATCGGAAAAGATAGGTTAACTTAAAATCGGTGCAGGTTTTTGAAGCACAGAGTACTTACGATACTATACATATAAAACAAAAACGGATCAGAAAATGTGTACGTACGTGATCTACGTTGATTTCTCCTTTGTACATAAATTCGACTAAGCATTTAATATCTACATATTTAACATCTTTCATAATGAGAATAGGGTCCTTTTCCTCGTACTGCGATAATATCGTATCGAAGTATGTACTGCACGCCGAAAGAACTATTTTGTGTGCCTTAAGAGTTTTTCCTTCGCAAGCTAATGTCACATCACAAAACGCCTCCCTTTCTAGTAACTGTGAAAACATTGTTTGTAAATTTGAATGATGGTATCTCCAACGTAAACAATACTGTTGAGGTAACATTTTGTTTTTTGAAATTTTTTGGTTACATACACTATTAAAACTGAAAACAAACACACTTTATGGAGTTCACTTCACTTCGTAGTTTATTAAGGCGAAACACGCCTTATCTGTTTACAAAAAAAACGTGAGTCACCTTTTTAGAACTTCAAAATACACGAAATAATCAATACAACACATATTTTCGACTTCTTTCAAAATTCCATGTTTTGATTTGTAGATAATTGTAAACACGCACTAAAAGCACTTTCTCACCGTTAAAATTTTCTAATTTTCGTATATCAATTTAACAACAGTGGCTCTCCGAAAATTTTCTATACGCGTATGTACTGTTCAGTCATTTGGAAATTTCCAACAAAAAATGTGTCCCTATTAGTTTTTTATGAATCAGTGAGCCAATAGAAACCACGTAAGACCCCTATAAACCATGTATAGTCCGTAAAATTCGCCGGGCCAAGCCTTAAAGGCTAAATCAATATCAGATACGTCTTTAAAAATTTTCGGATTCTTTTAATTTTAAATCTCGGAACACGTTACTTTATAACAAATAAACACAAATGCGAAATGAATTCTCAAAACGAGTAACTTATTAGGCTAAGCTAACGGCATCGTGGAGCAAGAAACGCGAACCAAAAGGGGGTCAAAATTAAGTTGACTGTACTAAGGCCTTTCATATTTATTTTTATAAACTTGGGAATCGCTTACGGTTTGAGAAAAGAAGCGGAAAACAACGGAGGTTCAACGATCTTTTAATCTACTCCAAAAAAATTACTCTCCATTTTCAAAATAGTTTTTTTCGAAAAATTTGTTTACTGAAAATTTACAAATGTCGCAGCGAATTATTCGTTTGTCCTTGCTCGATTTACGCCCGAATAATTAAGCTTAAGCTCGGGCAAGTATAGGTTTTCCCTAGAAAAAGCTTAATTTGAAAGTTTTCAAAATCGATCAAGTTATAATTTCGGAAAGTAATTAACGAGAGAACAATGTGAAAGCATTTTCAATTAAAAATTACTTCACAAAAACAAAATTCTTTCGTTTCCTACTGTTGGTGAGTTTGGTTTTTGAAACGCTATTGGCACCTACTGGCGACGCATTCCGAAAATTATAGGTTATATTTTTGTTGATAGACGGCGAAAAAATGTCAGATGACGACGAAGATGTTCCGTACGTTAAAAAAACGAGAACCATCCATTACGGATCGCTGGAGGATGCAGAGAAAGCTAGACTGGAGGCCTCTTCGGATGACGATAATGATGATTCTAAGCTCTCCGCGCTTCAGAGTGCACAAATTCACATATCCAATGGTACTCTTTCAGCAGTATTTCTGGTATTAAGTTTTACTTTTAGAGTATATGGAATTGGAAGACTCGATATCGAAGGAGAAACTAGCATTGCTTGAGGAGTTCGAAAGGAGAAAAAAGGCCCGGTCTATCAATGTTTCGACCGATGATGGCGAAGTGAAAAAGAATTTGCGACAGTTAGGCGAACCTGTGTGTCTTTTTGGAGAAGGACCTGCAGATAGACGTAATCGATTGAGAGATATATTAGCTTGGTTAGTATCTAATGTTTTTTTATCTTTAGAAGGCTGCGGTGTATCATCTTTTGCAAAACTATTGTACCAACCACATCACAAATTAAATCATGATGATTCAGTTCTGTGCATAAAGGTCTTGAAGGAGAAGGACCAATTTTGTCTCGGGGTATGGCAGTTTAATATTTAGAAATTGATTTTATAAACTGTGTTAGGTATTATCATACCCGGAGACTAAAGTTATTGAGGGGTGAAAAAACTGAGCATCAGACATATTCTCTTGGGTCTTTTTTAAGTTTGCAGTCGAAGTTGGCTTTGCAAAATTGAAATTGTGAACGTGCCAAGATTATGCAAACCAAACAACATATCAATTGTCGAAAATACTACTAAATTCCACTTGTAAGATTATGTTTATGTGTTCACAAAGAGATTGTCATGGCCAAGTTCAACCTCAAATTTTAAAAAAAATGGGTTACATACTTAGACCATATAGTACATGGACTGCTAATTGTAACGAAAATATGGTCAAGGACATCGCCTGGGTATGTGAGTTTCAGGGTAAACGAGTCTGTCCGAAGTTGTCCGATTAGACACGATTTGAGACTGTCAACCTATAAATTAACAAACGTCAATTAATTAATCGCCCAGATATGGCCAAAAAAGGAAACCTATTCTTATTTGTGGACGTATAGAAGATTATCAAGAGTATTTAAAGCTTCCCGTACTACGCGGTTACCATAACAGCTACACTTTACGCAATTCAAGTGGTGTTCATACGACTTTAGTTTACCCTGAGATTCACATGCCCACGACTACAGTGCCCTCTATCTGTGACCACCCATTTTGTATTGAAAGCATAGGGCTAATAGCAGTCCATGTACTATATGGTCTAAGGTTACATAGTAACATTTTTTAAATCAAACCCTCTGTATATTTTACATAGTTTGAGAGTAAATAATGTTACGTATAAAAAATTCTTGACAGATAACTACTCTTAATTAAAGGTAGGTAATAAAACCATTGAATTTGTAACTTATCGGAAGTATGGGTTATATGCCAAGAATTGTGACTGTTTTCTATAGTTGAAATTGTAAAACGTAGATGTCTGTACCATCAAGAAAAATTAGTTATAGTCAATTTTTAACTTTCCTTAGTTGATGTACACTGCAGCGGTTCTCAAACTTTTTTGGTGACGTAACCCTTTTAAAAAACTAAATAACAGAACCCGAAAACTCCAAAGTAAAAGCAAAACCAGTTATAGGTATGTGCATTGTTTATTAATAATCATACAAAAAAATTTACTGCGGCTAGCATAGATACACCTACACGATGCAATTAGCCATAATATAGAAAAACATCACAGAATGACAATTTTTTGTTATTTTACACAATTGCGCATGCGCGATTCTGCACAACAACTTTTCAGATCTTCCTTTTATGTGTACCAAATTTGGTTGCAATTGATTCATCCGTTTAGCCAGAAATGAGAGTAGATACAGAGTCAGACAGACCAACATCATCGAGGTTTTGTTTGAAAAACTGCGGCTTGACATTTTGAACGTAGGTTTCTTTGAAGGTACTTTCCGAAATTCCCATAAGAGTTGAATAAAACAGAGTGCAATGTTTATGCGCGTACGAACATTTTATCTGGAAGACTGGATATCAGGATATACAGTGTGTCCCCGGATGGACTGAACAAGAGGGAAAAAATTTTTAATTTTAACTTTACGCAAAAATGTCATTCTTTATAAAAATTTTTGCTTGGCTCAAAACCACCTATTCTGAAATAAAAATCTAGATATTCCTTTTAGTAGCTGAGAAAATTACAAAAAACGCAAAATCTACAGCGGAAATTTTTCTAAGTTGCATGTTTTTGATTAAATCAGACTATCATTGTATCTTCCATGGCAACCTGATAAGCAAATCAAGTTAAAAAAGACACCTTAGAGCTTAAGAGAAACATTTTATTTTATTATATGTGGTATCCTCCAACCTCTACACACTTTTCAGCTCTACATACAAATTCTTTATAAACATTGTGGATCGTATCTTCATTGACAGAATTTACCGCTTCCGTGATTTTTGCCATGGAAGATACAATGATAGTCTGATTTAATCAAAAAATTTCCGTTGTAGATTTTGCGTTTTTTGTAATTTTCTCAGCTGCTAAAAGGAATATCTAGATTTTTATTTCAGAATAGGTGGTTTTGAGGCAAGCAAAAATTTTTATAAAGAATGACATTTTTGCGTAAAGTTAAAATTAAAAATTTTTTCCCTCTTGTTCAGTCCATCCGGGGACACACTGTATGTTCAAAACATTTTTTTAAAAAGCTTTTTATGGTATCCAAAATTATAAAAAAATTGGTACTAATTCTACATACTTTTAAGTTTGTGATGAGCGGCGTACGAGGCGCCGTACTTCTGCATGGTCTGAAAATAGTTGAACTTGAAATCAATACTTTGGTTAATGTGAGTACATAAGACGCAATAATAATAATAATTATTATTATTGGCAAAACCTATAAAAGTATATAGTAAAATTTAGTTCAGATGAGTTAACTAATGATTGTTAGATGCTTTGGAACACTATTTCAGAATATTTCAACCCTTAAAAATCAACCCCTATTGTGGTTTAATTAATAAAAAGTATTTACCTTCAAAAAATAAATAATCGTATTAATTTAAAAATGTTATTGCTTAAAATATTAGTAATTTCATTTTGTCAATCCTTAAAAACCACCTTTCAAAAAGTGGTTAATAGATTGAAATATTTTCATCATAACTCGCTCAGTGTTTAAGCTACATTTTTTTAAAAACGAAAGTTTTTTTTAAATAATTAAAAAAAATTCTATGTTTCTTGAACAATGCATAGTTTTCCCGTGACTTTGAAACCCCTAAGTTTTGAAGAACAGCTAACCTTTAACAAACCATAGCTCGAGTCATATTGGTCATACGGCAATCATTAAAAAACCAGTCTCTTGTTTTTTTTAAATTAAATTTTGTTCTCCACAGTTTTTTTTATAAAATGTATACCGAGATGTATACTTTTCGATTTTTTCGCGAATATCCAATTTAAAGCATGAAAAACTGATACCATCGGTCACATATAACTTGAAAAGTATTAATGTTACAAAAAAGTGTATACAAAACTTTTTGCTGAGAATTGATTTTTCTATCTAATTTTAATAAAATATTTGCGAGATGGGGTGGCAACATGCAAAAAGCAAAAGTTAAAACCTTTGTTTCCTTGACTATTATTATACTTTTTTGTTAAAATTTTCATATTTACCAGGTGAGATATAATTGCGCATGAACAGTTTCGGGTGGTCAGTTTCGCTAGATACAGCCTTTTGAGTGATTTTGTAGTGATTAATAAATTCACTTTTTGTGGTAGATGATATATAAATATTCTTTTGGATTGTTTAGTCTTGGAGAAGATATAATAACAAGGCGAGATGTAGATGACGAAAAAAAACAACTAGAAATTAGCCAGGAAACAACTTGGTACCACGAAGGTCCGGAATCACTGCGAATATCTCGGTTATGGATAGCCGAATATTCTTTACCGAGAGCGAAAGCACGGTTGGAAGAAGCACGGTTGATGCGAGATCTACCCAATGCAGCTAGAACTGCTAAAAGACAGGAGATACAAAAGAAAATACAAAATTTAGCCATACATAGCAGCCAAATAGGAGATACGCGACCAATTTCTTCTTGCATGTTCAGTCCCAACTCTCAACTATTGGCAACAGGATCTTGGTAACCTACTCAGTGTGTATTACCAACATAGAACTGTCTTTTTAGGACTGGATTATGTAAAGTGTGGAGTATACCAAATTGCGAATTAAAACAAACTTTAAAGGGCCACAATTCTAACGTGGGTGCAATTATATTTCATCCAAAGGCAACAATAAGTCAAGAAGAAAACGTTTGCAACATGGTGTCCTGCGCTTTTGATGGTTCTGTAAAACTATGGGATTTCAAAAGGCATACTTAGTCGTTTACTCATTTAATTAGGCACTAATTTTTATTTGCAGTGAAGAACCAATAGCAGATATTGAAGGTCACATGCCGTATCGTGTTTCTAAGATGGGTTTTCACCCATCGGGACGATTTCTAGGCACGTGTTGTTATGACTGCTCATGGCGGCTATGGGATTTACACCAATGCACAGAAGTGTTGCATCAAGAAGGCCATGGGAAACCAGTACACTGTATTAGTTTCCAAATAGATGGTTCGGTTTGTGCTACAGGGTAATGCAATTACCTAATACATTTTTGAGCTTATATTAATATCTCGGTTGCAGAAGTTTGGATGCATTTGGAAGAGTTTGGGACTTACGAACAGGGCGATGCATTATGTTCATGGAGGGTCACTTGAAAGGAATTATGGGGATAGATTTTGCACTTAATGGCTACCAATTGGCAACATCTAGTGAAGATAATACATGCAAGATATGGGACTTGAGAAAACGTTCAGCTGTTTATACCATTCCTGCGCATACTAATTTAGTATCGGACATTAAATATCAAAAGGAGGGAGATTTTTTGGTCACCGCGTCATTCGACACTACTGTAAAGTTGTGGACAAATCGTACGTGGCAACCCTTAAAGACTTTGTCTGGGCATGATGGGAAAGTTATGTGCGCAGATATGTCTCCAGATAATCAATTTATTGTCAGTGCTTCTTATGATAGGACATTTAAGTTATGGACTGCAGAAGATAAATGTGACAATTTGTAATGGGTACATGTTTGTAACATTACGAATAAATGTGGTTCTTAAGAATTATAATTTTATCATACAGCTTGAAACATTGGAATGTTCTTTTCAAACGTTTAAAGGAAAAGTAAATAAATAGAGCTACTATATCTTCAAGAGTTTGTCAGTGCTAGAGTGCTATCTTCAACTTGAAGAAGTTGATGGACAATTTAGATTTCTCATTACTACTATAATCCATTTCAATTATGTGGTACTTGTTTTGTTGAGCATGTTTATCGTTACCAGCTCTATCGTACTGTTTGGCAATAAGAAGTATGATATCAATATATCATACTTACATTTTCGATGTGTTTTATGTATTCTAGGGCTAGACATTACTTGGAGTGTTTTGTTTTGCAAGACCATTAAGTAACATGTTAAGGGTGTTACTTATCATATTCATCATTTGTTAATATCTTCAGATCAAGATATCATATGCGATGTTTTGTTTTTGATGAGCCTATTTAAACGAGTCATCCAATATTAGGTATTATGTAAACTCTGTATAAGAGGAATTATCTCTTTTTTATACTCGCAAGTTGGAAGTGACAGAAAATTGATGTCCTTAAAGATATGTTGAGTTACATGTGAGATGATGTTTGGTGTTTGTCACACGCCACTGATTGCAGCTCTCAATTAAACGTTGTCATTGCTATAAAGATAGAGAAAGTAAACTAGACAAAATTTATCAATATGTGACATACCTTAATACAAAAGATGATGTAAAGTTCCTATTATACAGATTTTAGTACATTTTGTGCTTTTACTGAGTGTATTATATGAGGGGTCGTTTTTATCTTCTCTGACTAGGCATGAAAACAAAAGACCTTATACAGTCCTGGACTAGTGCAACAACAAAATTTTATTTTTCAATATAGTTCCCCTGCTTTTGAATTGCAGATATAACACCGTTTCAATAACATCTTTAATTTAGTACAAAAATATTCATTTGGTTTTTCCGCGAAATGGCTCTCAACAGCTGCAATAGTTTGCATGATACTCTCCCGTTACCGTACTACTTTTATTAATATAATCAATCAACAAAATAGTTACCATTATTTTTCCTACTGAAAGGGTGACTTCTTGGGAGAGCTGGAGCCCTTAACATGCCACTGCACCGAATTTTGTTTCGATTCAGGATTATGATGAATCCCAACAGCGCACCAAAAATTATCCGTAGGAATCTGCACGGACACTGAAATTCTGAAAACTGTGGTTTCTGTAACTAGTGAAGCTGTTAATTGTCGCTTCTTTAGTCAAGCGTCCTCTAGAGTAGTCTCAAAATGAGAAGTACATCGTGACGTCATCACTTTCTGCGCGTATTGTTGCCACTAGTGGCGTATCATAGGGTATTTAAATTGAGGTTTGAAAGTACATTTGCTGTGTGAGGCAATGCACAAATCAAGTGAACAGAGCGCCCTAGACGAGAGATCTCTAGTACCAAACATTTGGTTTTTCCAAGAACATCTGAAATGATCAAGTGAACAGAGCGCCCTAGACGAGAGATCATCATCCAGTGATTCTCGAACAGGTTTAAATAATTTTAACCACTTGCAAATAGATAGCTTAGAAGGGCAATAATTTTCATATACAGCCAACATTTCTTCAAGAATAACTTTTGGAGGTTTTCCTTGTTTTGTAAGGAATAATAGAGCCTAGTATTTGATTTTATTCATATCGATATTCTACAAGGTAAGGTCGACCTCCGCTCATCTGTTTAGCAAGTGAAATACATTTTTTACCAATCTTAATATGTAAACAAACACATCGGAAATGGGTTGCCTAAAAAAATTAGTGTATTAATGTAATTCATGTTTCTGTCTGCTTCTATCACATAGAGAGAGCGCATGCGCATTCTCTTACATCGATGCGTACACCACGATCAGCTGTTACGCTGTGTCCTTATCTTTCGCACGGAACTATACACGTTTCTCTCTCGCGCGTCACTTAGAATTGCGACAACGCGATTATGAGTTTGCGAAATTTTGTACTCGAAATGGAATCACCCATATTAGGTCAACACCATATCATCCACAAACCAATGGTTTGGTGGAAAGAGGAGTTAAAACATTTAGACAGAATGTTGAAAACAACCAAAGGACAAAAGTTGCATGAAAGTCTGTGCAGTTTTCTGTTCAATTACGGAAACACTGCTCAACGTTCAACTGCACGGTCACCGTGAGAAGTTCTTTTCGGGAAGCCACTACATATAGTTTTCGACCATTCAAACGGGACATTCATCGCAAAATGGATAAACAGAAAATCCTTCAAAAGAATGAGTTTGATAGGCACGCGCCCGAGCGTACTTTTCCAAATGAGCCAGTTTGGGTGAATAATCTTATGCCAAAAGGGCCTACACCGGGTCATGTTTAAAAAAAGGACGGGCTCATATTCATACATTATCAATATTGATGGACAAGAACGTAGGGAGCACGGAGACCTATTACGGTCGAGAGAATCAACTGAATTTCATACTGTAAAATGAGGCAAGCTGCATCAGCTTCTGAGGAAGTTGCGGTACCAGTGCCAGATTATCCTGATGTTCCGTCCACATCTCTGCACGCTACGTAGGAATGCGCAGCGTAGTACACAAGTGCCGATTCGTTATCAAAAGGATTTCCGTTAATGGAGAAGCAACTGATTTTCATTTAAGGGGGGAGATATGTAGTAGGTTGTGGCAATAGTAGATTGAGTAAAAAAACAATGAATTATTTGAATTGTCAGCAGTTACAAAAAGTTCTTATTTTAACATCAACCATACCACACCCTTATTTGAACGTAAATAGCGGAGCCCGCTAACCTTATTACTGTCAACGCCATTTCAAATTGAAAATGCGCAGCGCATGCGCACATGATAAAATAGTGTTCACCACAGACCAACAACGGTGTTCATGAGCGCTATCTAAAGGCGGAAATACTCGAGCAAGATTTCTCGTGCGATTTGGTGTCTGATAGCACTGTCGAGGTGTAAATACCACCGAACGTCATCGACAGTCCTATCCGACAGCAACTCACGCGAGAAACCTCGTATTCCTGCCTTGAAATAGCGCTCATGAAGCGAGTGAACGCACGGTATATACCGTGGTTGAACGTAAGCATAAAGAGACACCCTGTATCCTATCTTTCCACGTCAACTTGTTGTTTACTAATCATAAATTCATAACCTTTAAAAAATTAAGAATGGTATTTAATTTTTCGTTTTATTATTCTTATTTACTTTCTACACTTGTGCTTACAGGATATCGGTGCGTTCTCTGAAGACGATTTTAACACAAAAGAATGGATAAACAATATTTTGAAATCTTTGGAGCAAAAGGACAAGAAAGAGGTTTGCATGTCATGTAACTCGCATTTAACTTACTGTCCATTTTAGAATCACACAATGTCCTTAGTTATGAAACTCCAGCTTTACGTGCAACAAGTGAATGCTGCATTAGAACAAACGAGCCAACAAGTTTTGGTATCGCTGCCAAAGATTATGCGAGACACCGAAAATTTACAGCAAGAAGCTGCGTCACTAAAAGAGAAGTTAAATATTGTTAAGGACGAAATTATTAAAATCGAAAGCGATACAGGGCAGTCGTTGCAAACTTTGGAAAACTTGGATACAATAAAAACACAGCTAACTGAAGCTAAACAAGGTTTACATGAAAGTGACAATTGGACTGTGCTTGGTAGTCTACGCTTGTAGAGAAAGTATCTCTTTTAACATATGTTTTTATAGCAAATGATCTGGAGGAAGTGTTTGACTCGAGGGATGTTAACACAATCGCTACAAAATTACTTGGAATGCAACAGTCACTTAAGTTGTTAATAAATGTTGCAGATTACGAAGATAGGAAAATGCAGCTTGAAGGTCTGAAAAACAGGCTGGAAGCGATTGCCAGTCCTGCAGTTGTGTTAGCATTTACCTCAAATAATGTCGGCGAGTATATTCCAGTTTTAAGAATTGCATTATTTGTACTATTTTATTTGTAGAGGAATCTTTAATGTATGTTCATATATTTAGTTCCATTGAGAGGCTTTCTCAATTACTTAAATATTATCATAAATGCCAAAAGGACATACTACTTAAAAAATGGAGAAACCAACTGGAAATAGAACAAGATGAGTCGATCACTCAGTGGTTACATAATTATTATGATATCCTATTGTCAAATTGGCATACACAAAGTAAATGGATTAGTCGAGTTTTTCCAAATGAGTCCAGTACAGATTGTCTAATCGACATCTACGTGGATGTTTTAACTAGCCTGGATCCGACTGTAAAAGAGTGTGTTGATGCTGCTCTCAAACAAGTGAGCGATAAATTAGGTCTTCTGTATGAAGTCAAGCAAATTACCAAACAATTTGCCACTAATATTAGTAACATTGTTGGTAAGTTTTGTATGTAGGTACTTACCTTATACCCACCATCTCTTTCATGTTATTAGTAGCAATTATTTTGTTGTGAATGGTAATCTGTTGCACTGGCAGTACGGAAGGAAGCTTTTCAAATTTCCTTCCAAGATCCTCAGTCAAAAGTGTCATTAACCCCAACCTCTGGGGCCTCATCTCAGCATCACATCCCTTAATGAGTCTGAATGATCTTATTATCATGATAGCTAAAATCGTGAACAAACTGAACATAAAAGTTTTATGATCACGAATTCCTAACCTATAAATGCAAGGATATTTTTGCTCAAATGTTAGTTTAGTCATATTTGTAACTGAAGAGTAGCATAATCATGCAAGTACTTGTACTTGTATTTAAATTATATTCATAATCCAAACAAAAAATATTATATGTAATTCGAATGCAAATGTGTAGTACCTAAACTTAACCATACTTTGATTTAAATTCGCGTTTTCTTTCGTAAAACGTAATCCTACGAATCACGATCTTGAAATCATGATCACGAAGTAGCCGAAAGAAAGCGCCTTATATGTAAACACTATGAATATAAGTGAAACTAATATAATAATATACAATAATAATATAATGACGTTTTCAAAATATTGTTTTGCGCATGCGCAGTGCCAACTTTCTTATTTACGAAAGCATTTATGATTTATTTTTTTTTATATTTGTATTAGGGCTAGCCAGAGACTTGCTATAACTAGACTGCGCTTAACGTATCTAAGGTGTTGTCGACACAGTATGCAACACACAATGCACCGCGGGGCAAAAATCGCAGAGATGATGTGCAATATAATGAAATAAGCTGTTATTTTAGATGTTCCGTTCTTTAATTATTCTCGTGATTAGCTCGAATTAGTGAACAGATAAATTTCTGTTGAGAATAAACCAATAAACTTAGGTTAACTCGTGCGTATCAACATGTACTCTGTAGATAGAATTTTAAATAATATGCAGATTTCCAACGGATAAAAGTTTAAAGGGCCAATGGATCAGAGCCATTCGAAGAGAAAAATTTACTCCCACCATAGTGCATTTGCGGGGAATGAAGCCTATTTTAGACAGGTACCTAGGAAGGTGTTAAACAATAACGCAATACCGAGCGTTTTCGACTTTCCCATTCACTTAAAATAACGTAGAACGTAATTCGACATCCTTTACCAGATAACGGCAGTACCTATTTGCCTATTAGGTATAGACGTAACTAAGTACTTACTGGTACTAAGTATATTTCAGGTTTTGTTACAAGAAAAATAGCTAAAAGTCTGTTAAATGTTCCATATGTGCAGATGCGATATTCGCATCAGAGAGTCATCCAAAGCTTTTAACTAGAAAAAAATCGTGGAGGATTGTTGCACGTATCAAGCGATGAATTAAAAATTTGCCAAATTGCTGAAAATGTGTTCAGGTTTTTCATTCAATCCACACCACACCGCGTTGTAAACAAAATGGTTATCAGCAGTCTAAGAAAAATAAATAACAGTGACAGCCCATTTGGGTTTTTGGATAGGCATATATTGAATTAAAATCCGCTAAATAATCATATCTTACTACTTACATCTTTAGTTTTAAGAGTATATTTTCCCGTGCGTGTTCACCACCAAAATACACATATAAATCGAATTAGGACCAGAGTAAGGCAGTTATATACCAATTTAGTACAAATAAAATACCAATAAATTCGATTAAAACAGTTAACAGTTATATGTTATCTTTTTTTGCTACTAAAATTTAGAATAAACATATGCTAAAGCATTGAATAAAAACACTATAAGAAGCCTAACCCCGTGGAAATAAAGCGCGACAGAGTTTGAACTGAGAATATAATGGGAACACTGTCAATAGAGTCGATTCTTGAACTGAGAAGAATGAGAATTTGCTTTCCTCCTATTTACCACAAAGAGAGTTCGGCGGTCACAACCAATGCGGGTGCAAGGGGATTTGTGAGATTTGTCGCGCTTTCTTCCATAAGCGTTAGGCTTCTTATAGTGTTTTTATTCAATGGCTAAAGCAAGCTGCAGAACGTACGTCTGCCCCGCGATGAACAGTTGGTTGCCTATCCTATCTTGACAACAGGCGTTTATAGTAAAATGTACGTTACGCGCGGTCTAGTTATAACAAGTCTCTGGGGCTAGCGCATACATACAACTTTTAGTTGAACAACTGTTTTGTTGTGTATCATATGTTTAAAAGAATATATTTAAGCGCACATACTGTCAACTCGATAGTTGCTCGACAAAAAAGTCAAAAAGCTTTATCGATTTGCTTTTGATTTAAAAGTTGGACAACTAACGATCAAGCGCTGAATTTGTAATGCATTGTATTATGTGCACAAACCATCGACCAAACAGTCGATCCGCGACTGACTGCGACTGCCAGTCTCGTATAAGCATTGGAAGCGGCGCCACGTCTCTTGTCACCATGGCGGGAACTATTTCATTATTTATTGTTTCAATCGATCTCAAGAGTAATCTACCTCAAATAGACTAGATCCTGCATATCTACACTATAGCAGAAACCTTTAGTAAAAATAAGTTTTCTTCGCTCATTCTATAATTTTGAAAAACTTGTCTGGGTGCTCTTTTAGCTTAGAATGTAACGTATGAAATATTCCACTAGCTAGATAATCTATCACTGAGTATCAGAGACTGGTATAACAAGTCTCTGCTGAGTATAGGATGTACACAGTATCTGGTCGATTTGAGGACATAAAAAAATCGATTGTATGCGCACCTCCATCAACTAAACTGTTTAGTTGAGTAGCAATCACGAAAAGTACAAAACTCGACAAAACAGTTCAGTCGATGCAACAGTTGTATGTATGCGCTCGGCCTTACGCTATGAATACGTTCTCGTCATTTATGTTTCCGTAATGACCTTTTAATTTGTTTATTATATGAAGAACGTGTAGTTTTAAAGATAATTCCATTTACAAGAAAAATTTGGCATTTGCAAGTGTCATTTTATTGTCAAAACTATATTACATTCATTATAAGAAGGTAGTAGATGGCGCTGTGTTTAAATATAGACTAAAGTCACTAGATATAGAAAGTACCGCAATCATCCGCCATTTTTGGGCCAATTTGCTGCCAACTTAAGAAAATTGACAAATAAAATCTGAATAGCTGTCATTTTTTATAACCTAACTTCATAGTACTGTCATGTTTTATAAAAATTTATAGATATCTCCAAACAGGTGGAACAATCCCTAACATTAAAGTTACTAGAATTTGGTAACTTCCGCCATTTTTGGGCAAAAATCATGCGTTCTCTCTCTAACACACGAGCCCAATGGATTGCGGTACTTTCTATATTTAGTGACTTTAATATAGACTAGTAATCTAGGGACTTTAAGATAGATAGACACACACAGGATAAATAGAAAACGGCACCAAATTTGAAAAATATTAATATAAACACAGCCGTTTATAATTACAAGTCATGCTGAGAAGTTTGGCAACGTTGTCCGAAAGTCAATCGGTGAGCCGATTTAAGTTTTAATGGCGTCTTGTTGTCCTTGTAAAATTGCATTTTTCCTCTCTCCTGTGTTTCGCCTTGGTGGTTTTAATACAGAAGAAAGATACTTAGGCAGCTTACAATTGTACAGGGTGGCCAACTAAGAATGCGAGGTACTGTATCTGAGAATCTGTACATCGTAGAGGCTTGTGGTAACAAAAATTATTTCTAAAACGGCCACGAGTAAAACCTGGAAAATATTTTTAAGTTTCTGAAATGACCGCTAGGGGGCGTAACTGCAATCTGGAATCTAAAAAAGTGGTGTTTCTGTGAATTCCGCTATATTAACCTAACAAAAAAATGTCCGGTCTTTGAAGTTGACGATAATCTGAACAATTTTTGTTTGACAATTTTTCCTGTATCTCTAAAAATGAAGTGGTGGGGGGTATTCAAAGGTTTTACAAATTTATACTATTTGACGTTTTGTGTGAAGTGCGTGTGAGATTGGTTACCGTATAGGAAATTATTATCCAAAGTTGATGGTTTTTGGAAGAGCTAAAAGATGAAAAATATACACAGTGTTTAAAAAAAGTGAGACTTTAATATTAAGTTTTGTAACTTTGGCCTACAAAGAAAACACTCTGTAAATTTATTTTTAATTGTTTCATAGTAGATGTAATATTTATTTGACTTTAGGTTTACCCATGATAAAGTATAGAACCTGGAATCAAAATTTAAGTAATTTTGGCAATCAACTGACGCAAATGCCAAATGATTGCTTATAAATCGAATTATGTTTAAAACTATACAAGTTCTTCGAGTGTTCACCATATATTATAATAGTTCCTTCTTTCTCACACTAGCTCCTGAGACAAAAATATTTGTAAGCTTTGTAAAATTAAAAAAATGGTCGGCCTGGTCATCAGATTGCTACTAAGCCTGTTTGATCTTTCCAACCCCACCAATAGTACTATATACGTCTCACCTTGACTTTACAGTACTGGCTCTTATGGTCAACGATGCCGAATGTCATCAGAATATGATTTGAAGAAAACTCTTTTGGATAAAATTGGAATCGCCGCCCTAAACACTCCAGTAAGGATTGCATTGCCCTATGTTCCCTGTACTGTTAAGTCAACGTGAGATGGACTATAGTAGTTTATATGTATCTTATATATTTGACAGATCAATGATCAATTGAACCAATGTTTGCAATTTATTCCAGATAAAACTTGTAAAGAAAAACTGCTGCCATTGTTACAAGCCATTTACGATCCACTAATCAGTTACATTTCGAAGTACGCAGCGTACGAGCAGGCCAGTCTTATGCAAAAACTGTCGTCAGTTAAATGCATTAAAGATGAACTTCCCGACACTATTCAAGCGTTGGGGTTGTCCGTCTCCACAATTACAGATGCTGCACAGGACGCAAAGACTAGGTGCAAGAATATCACTGAAAATTGCGGATATTGTGGGCTTTTAATTGCGCTGAGAGCATTTTTCTTAAACTATAGCGACCAGTATAAGATTACGCTGAGGCAAATAGAAAGAAGTAGGGGAACAAAAGAAGATTGGAATCTATTTCAGTTATGTTTATCTTTACTTCAGAACACTGGTGACGTGTTGCTGCATTTGCAAAAGTTTGAAAAGGAATTAACTTCTACGATATTGGAATTAAATGAGAGCGACAGTGGGATTGAATATAAGCATTTATTATTGGATTCATCCGAAAGGAGAGAATATGAGGCGTTGGTGAAGTGTGTGATGGAAGGCACCGAATTAGCTTTGTTGGATCATGTTACAGTGGAGTTTGGCAAATTGTGCATCGATATTCATCATGCTATGTATGAAGTCGTTTTTGCGCCGATATCTGTACATTTGCAAGTTTTGCAACTTCCAAAGACTTGGTCACATATACAGGAATCTTTTTCAGGCAATTTAGATCTTCCCGATTATAGTTTCTCCCCTCAAGAATACATCACACAGGTAATAAATTATGAGTGGACGAAGGATGTGTAAATCGTGTTCTATTACAGATTGGCCAGTATCTCATGACCTTACCCCAACATTTGGAACCTTTTTTATTTAGAGAAAATCCAGCATTGTCCTGTGCTTTGAGGGCAGCTGACGAAGAATACAATAACGCAGATAGTGTAGAGGGTGCACTAGCAGATGTTTTGCTTAGCATTATTGCAAAAGGATTGTGTCAAGCATACTGTGATCAAATTTTGAGTATATGCGAGTTGAATAATATAGCCAGCCGACAGCTAGCGCATGATATTGGTAATATAACATTTATAAGATATCAGATTAACCTTGACTTGCAGGTTATTTAGCCAATGTCTTGGAAGATTTAGGACTCCATTTGTCAGATACCTTAAAACAGTTGATCACTTTGCTGAAGCTACCTGCAGATCAGTATCAGACTCAAAGTTCTGGATATTCCGCAAGATATGTCGCTGCAATTAGACAAATAAGGAACATTACGTCAATAGATAAACATGCAAAAGGGCATACATAAAATATTAAAAAATGTAGCATTATGAGTTGCATTCAATATAAATAGAATTTTTCTAAAATTATTTTCTTTTGGAATATGCTACGGTCTATTTAATTCTAAGATGACTCATGCATACAAAACTTAAAACATTTTAGAATTAAAAAGAATCCAATGTATTGTTACTCTATTTTCGAAAAGTACCACAACAAACTGGGTAACAGCATTGTTTAATTATTTCACGCAGTGGTACCACGCATTATTTAAATTTAAACAATGGTACCAGATTATTCACAACATTTTGAATCATTTTATAACAGGTTTTGCAGTTGTTTGTGTAGATAGATTTTTTTTAATAAGACACAAATTGAAAAATGACAGCCATAAATGGGATATTATAAAAATAAATGTGGATTATTATGGGATAGTGGGGAGGGCGGCCCCATCTTCATAGGCATACGCTTCCATTTGTGGCGGGTACCACGGATACACATGCTGGTGGCTCTGATTCGCATACAACCAAGTTTATTCTTGTCGCGCGGAGAACCTCCCTCACCATACCTTCTGTCAATTACTATTTCACTTGTTTCCTTCTTTTGGAGTTACTTCATTGCATTTAATTTACTATTATACGGTATTCATTTTAATAAGGTAGCGCTAGAACGCATATGGAAGCTTTGACCTTCACTGTGATTGGTTAAAACACGAGTCAGTGTTACGCTTAAACATAAAGCGACTGGCAAATTTTGTAAGCTGGTAGTTTATGTTGCCAATTAAACTGACGAAGTGTCATTGGCTGTTAATGTGAAACATTTCTGTTCGCAGTGCTGGATATTTCTACTTTACAATAATTTCGTGCCGTTTTATATTTTTACTGTGTGTTTATCTTCAAACATAGCGCCATCTACTACCTTCTTATAATGAATGCAGTATAGTACTGTTTAAGACTTTAAATTCGATTGTTTTTGTTTTCAACACCAAGGTATACACTTCCGATTCCGATAAACCAAATTTAAAAACTTAGCATCCGACTTCGGGTTTCAATATAACCACTTCCGTAACATCCTACTAGAGAGAATAAAGTGTCAGGTCAAGGTTGCCTGCAACGCGGTGTGGAAACTTGATTTTGCCCAATGACTAAAGCGGTGCTAACAAATTTGTCCATAACGGGAGCTGTGCATATAGCAGATTCCATAACGCGCTGTGGGTGAAAATTTCGCCCACTGCCGAATTCGGCAATTGCGTAGAACATATACCAAAACATTTCCTCCGACTTATAATTTATGAGGGTTATTCCACCTACACAATGGCATTTCGGACACTGGCGCGAGGCCGAAGTGCGGTGCCTTAGTTGCTTACCTATCTGGCGGCGCTGGATAGAAGTTCCACGTGAACCTACATGTTAGACAGGCTGTCCCAAAAGCGGTCTACACCCCCCCCCCCAACTTGAACTGTAGATGTATTTTTTCGAAAATGAGTGTTAGACAAATCAAACGGAAACACTTGAAACATAACACAATGCTATATTAAATATTTAGCTGCTACAATGACCAGGTACATCAGGAATATAAAAGTTATTGCTCTAATCCTATGTTAATTTGATCTTTTACTTTTGTTTCTTCTACGATTTCTTGAATAAAGTGTAATACTTTTTGATATAAAAATGACATCCTAAAAAGTATCTCCATTAATTACATAGTAGCCTATACAGACTTGTAAAGTTTGACTTTAACCGAGTCTGTCCCACAGTGTAAAATAAAGAGAGGTGTTTACAAACTGCTGCTTAAATTGGCAAGCAACTTTAAATAGATTATGTGAGTCTAATAGGGTAGGTTCCTGATTTGGGTGCCAGCGCACTTTGGAACAGGAGGCCTCGAAAGGGCTGTAGGAGGGACTTCGTCAGCCCCAAGCCTGCCCTAGGAATTGCTCCCTTCATTTTCATGGCCCAGATTAAAGACTGGATCAGAGAGAGCTCGTTGGCGGCGGTTATTTGGAACCGAGGAGGATGAAGCAACTTAGGCTAAACAGTCCTATCCTTTATAGAGAGGAACGGACTTTGAACCTAGTTGCGAGGGGATAGGATGTAGGCACAATGTGGCTTTGGTGTGCCATAGTACTGCCTAGCCGAGGTGCCCTTGTGAATAGAATAGAAGTAATATTGTGATCGATCCAATGTAAGAGAAAGACAGTCTGTTTCCAGGTCTTAGTGAGGTCTGGTGTTTTCCTAGGACAATCATGATCACGCGCATTTGTTTGGAAACGCGGGGCAAACCAAATTGGATAGGTAAACATTTGTACAAGATAAACTGCAAAGGACCAAACTTCCTACACAAAACTCCGCAACAGTAAATGTATAGTAATCATCTTTTAAATATGAAGCCTTGAAATGACTGGGTTGTGTTGTGTGTGTTATCTTTGAATGCTTATAATACGTAAATGGGTTAAGATAGATAAATGACGTCCTGGAGTTTTTTGTGGAAAGTTACATGGTGCATCAACCTGTGCAAAAAATAGCTACTTGTACTTCAATATTTCCTCGCCAGTAATTTTCCTGACTCTTATGTAAAAGTAAGTATTCCAATTTTCCATACCTTTTAGAGTTAATACACCTTATATTAATTTACACTGTGGTCTGTTCCAAATTTTAGTGTTCATTTAAGGTAAAAGTCTTATTACCACAGTTAAATAACTTACCTGTTTGCAGGTTTGCATATTCCTAAATGATCCTGAGGAACTTCAAAATATTCTCCTATTGACGGATTTCCAGAATGTGAATCAACAAATAAAACATTAAATTTAATCGCGGTTACCAAGGTAGACTTTGTTTCAACAAAACTAAGCACTTTCAATGGAACCTGTTTTATAAATTGTAAGAAATTTTCCTGTATTTTATACAATCCTTGTGAATCTAAAATAAATTTAGATTAGCATAAAACAACGTGTTCAACGCAGAGATTTTATTAAAAAATGCTACCTTCACGCAATTCCTGTATTTCAACTGATGGCCACAGTAACAATGAAGCAGTTGCATTCAAATTAGCTATACGCGATCCAATGTGAGGAGTACTATAAAACACTATACCTTTTGAATTTAAACATAACTTCCTGGCACGCTTGGAGTTGCTTTCCCATGCTGAAAGAATAAGTACACTGTACTTAGTTCCAATACTAACAATTAATATGCTTTTGATGCAAAACGTTAGAAATGTGTTAGAAAACGTACCACGTTCCATAATTGTATAGAAAATTTTGCATTTTATTGAAAAAGCATATTTAAACGTAGTCCACAATACTTTTGTGGTTTAGGTAAAGTCACATGAAAGACAAAGTAACCTAGCATCGTTCGTCTGTAATTTAATTATTTAAATGATTGAACATAAATAACTAGCAGTTCATTTATACTTATATTCATAAATTAAGTAAAACTGGACCTATGATACATACTTCTGGTATACCTTTGGTATATATTAAACTCAAATCAGTATTGTTATGTTATGTACCTACCTATCGCGCTAAACAAACACATCAATCAAGAGGATTAAGAGACTAACCTTTCCATAGTAGATTTTTAACAATAAGCCCTCCCATTGAATGTGTGATCCATATTATTGGTCTATCGCCCACCCCAGCTTGCAAAAGGCTAGTTAGAAATTCGTCGCTTCTTTCGTCAATGGTGCATTTTTTTTGTTCGTTGGGACAAATTTTTGCCCATAATGATAAGCTGGTATCATAATTAATGCCTAATATTCGTAGATCACTGCAATCGTTCGGTAACCAATCTCTAGGCCAACATGATGTATGTGTACAGCAATCTTCAGCTGCTTGAGCGATACAGTCGTTATTTCTACAAAATTTTAATTTACACATAAGAAAGTAAAATGTTAGTTAGAGCAAAAAAAATTGAATATATTTTTATTTATTTATAGAAAGTAATACACACCCACAGCAAGTGTATGGACCTTCTGCCTCAACATTAGTGGCTGTTGGTATGTCATTCAACACAAACTCAAAATCTTGTCCAACCTGGTCCCATTCATATTGATCTTTAACTTCTGCATCTTGAATATACTCTCTTACTAAAGGATCACTTGTTCGAAGCAGTTTTGACTGTACATCCGTTACAGTTCCTAAAACAGAGTTTGGCTAGAAGAAAACGCAATGGTTTTATTCTCACTTCTAAATATTGAGGTACTAAACAATCCACTAAACACGTTAGCTCTCCTTTGTCGCCACGTGAAAAATACTCCTCCCAACAATCCATGTACGAATATTACATCAACTAATGCTTTCTGGTCACAGTGATATAATGGGTGTAAGATGTGCAACGAATTTTGATACATTGCCCTGTTATCATCTAGATTCGATAAAATCTTGGCGGCAGTACTAGACAAGCGAATATCATTGTCATTGAGCCATTTTGACAACACAGTAATCCATCCTGTAAGATAAACGGCGGTAAAGTATTGATTGTACTACGGTTAAAAAATATGTGATCCTCAAGCGGTCAGGACTTACATGTCATAGACAGTATAACATAATGTTGCTTCTTAAAGAACAAAATTGCAATAATAGTCCGGTCAAGTTGGCATGAAAAATAGGGGTACCCTTGCATAAGAAGCTGAAAATTCACATGAACGTTAGGGATACCATTATAATAAAATTGTGAAAAGTCCCCATCGATCCCATGTGTGCACAAAATTTTATTCAAGGTCAAAGTTCGCAAAAATGGGTTTTCTGAATTTTTTAGCGAAACGGTTAGTTTTATGATAAAAATAGTTCAGACAAAAATTGTAGATCATGCAATTATTATATACGAAAAATGTCCTTACACTTTTTCTCCTAAGATTCAGTACCTACTTCTGAGAAAAAGCGATTCCAAAATTTACTAAAGTTGTATTCTCTATACTCTGCACACGTTTCCACGCCACCTATGAGGTAGCTTACGGCCCGGCGCACATTGAGACGCACGCGACACAACCCACGGCAACACACGCTTTGTGTACTGTTGAAATTACTACACAATCTGTGTCTCAGTGTACTGTGTAGCGTCAGATATGAGTCACGTGGTATCGTATATTGTGCTACAATCGTGTTTACTCCTTAATTCCGATAGAATACAACGCGTGCGTGGCCGTGGGTTGTGTTGCGTATGTCTCAATGTGCGTCGGACCTACTTGACGCGTTTTTTTAACGTGGTTTCTCCAGTAGGCCTACTCCACGGTCCATTTTATTTAATCTTCGTAGAATAATAGGTCTTCTCATTCAATTTATTCTTCTTTTGCGTTTCTCTTTCTCCATAAACTTCTTGTTTTTCTTCGTCTTTTTCCTGAGTCGACGTAAATTGTTCAAACAGTGATACATCAGGTGTTTCGTCGTCGATGTAAGGATCAATGTAATTAATTAATTAATGTAAATCAAGCCTCTGCTCACAAATACATACACAAACATTATGTATTGTTGTGCGGTATTTGATACTGTTATACTTACTGGTACTTACTTATTTTAAATGCTGTACTACTTATCTTGTTGTTTAAAACTAGGAAACTAGGCATGGCAGTATTGTATACAATCAAAGTCGTTTTACTCCACCATTTATTCAATTGAAAACATAATAGTTGATTCAAATTTGCACTCATTTTTTTCATCCTGTTTCATACAGGATTGTATTTTGTTTGATTAACCGAACTTTTGATTATCCGAAGCACTACCTGTCCCAATTAGGTCGCATAATCGACGTCCTACTGTACCACGTTTTCAATACCAGAGAAGGTTGAAGACTATAATGGCATTTTGTTGGGACCATAACTCAAGAAAAGCAGAAAGACGAGCACTTATCATTCAATATTAATGTATTAGTGACGCAGACTAATAGTTTGACTTATATTATTCGTCCAATGATGTGCATAGGCAGCGTAGTCACGCATGTTATGGGGAATACAGCTTTAGCCCAGGGGCGCCGACTTATCAAAATTTATGTGGGTGCTCACCAAGCCAGAAGCCTCACATATTATGTCCACAGATAGATATAACCGTCTATCGTAGGTGTAGTCTTTTTTAGTGTATGAAAGAAATTGTATTGACCAAGTACCGAGTAGATTTTTAAGTTTTTATTTTCGATTTATATAAAAAAACTTTATTTTTATTGCATAAGGCATAACTGTAGATTATGAGAATAAAAGTCTTTAAATAACTTTAATTTTAATTATATTAAAGGTTAGGTAAGCGTAAGCAAAAAATAATCTGCATATGCATGCGACACCTTCGTTGATGCGTCAAGCATTTGATACCGTTAATTTTAATTTGCAACAGCTTCTCAGTTTTCATATCCTCTGTTTTAGGTGGTACCATTGAATAATAAATCTGATTTATTATTCAATGGTGGTACTATACCTACACATGACAATTATTAAATGTGTGTAGTTATAGGTAGGTAGGTACTGTTAATCTTTGTCATTAAAAATAAACTAAGGAATTAAATTTAAGAAGTCGCATAAGCGTTTTCAAAATCGCCCAATTTCCGATATATCGTAAATGTGAAAAAATAGGAGCAATTATGAATGTTGTATCGCCCATTTTGCGATAAATCGCCCACGTTGGGAACCCCGGACTGGGACCTGGCCTGGGACTGCGGCTTTGAAAACTTCATGTACCGAATACCTATTATTTCATTTTTCATAAGAATTAACGATGGCGATCGACGATGTATGTAACGGATGACGGATGTAATTTCATTTCGATAATTCGATATCATAAAAATGCTGTACGATCTGTACAGATTCTACAAATGTAGTCACATTCAAATTCAACAACTACTGTAGTCTGTACGCCGTACGGAAAATATTTATAGAAATCTTTCCTGCTATTTCGTGTGAGTAAAGTAAAAAAATATATCTAAATTTCTTCGTGTTTAGTAACTATCGAGAAAAAAGACCTAAATAGACAAATATCAACCGGAAAATTCTGTGGGTGCAATGCACCCACATAACTTTTTCTGTGGGTGCTTAAGCCCCGAAGCACCCACGTAGTCGGCGCCCCTGCTTTAGCCAATTTTAGAATCGCTTTTTCTCAAAAATACTGAATTTTAGGGAAAAAAGTGATTAATAAGAACAATTTTTGTAGATAATTGCATGATCTACAATTTTTGTCTGGCTTATTTTTATCATAAAACGAACCGTTCCTCTAAAAAATTTAAAAAAACCCATTTTTGCGAACTTTGACCTTGAATAAAATTTTTTGCACACACGGGATTGTGTAAAGGTGGGTTCATAGCTCTCCGTTCATCCATTGCGTTGATCCGTCAAACGAATAGTACATTTTGTTAAGGTTCATAGCAATCCGTCCACATTGTACATTTGCAAGTATACCATAACCTATACTTTATTTTGTACTGTACCCTCCGTCATTTTCAGTATGTAAAAATGGTACGAAAGTAAAAACACATTGCTATCTGGTTATTACCGTGAAGAACGAATAGGCGAACGCTGTTAACGTACCAAACATAACCTCACTCTTGTTAAAAACGGACCAACGGAAACGTAAATGTTCAACTTCAACCAACTTTTCCGTCGTAAACGGACGACGTACGATTTAAAAATTTGCTGTCTTCTGATTGGCTAACAGACAAACGGAAACGTATGAACGGAGAGCTATGAACTTACCTTAAGACTTTTTACAATTTCATTATAATGGTATTCCTAACGTTCGTGTAAATTTTCAGCTTCTTGGGAATTTATGCAAGGGTTAATGTCTATTTTGACCGGCCTAATAAGTTTTGGAAATATTTAGTGGTTAAGAATGTCGTTAGTCAAAGGACATGTAGTAATGGAAAGCTCTCCAAACTTTTATTGTGTCACAATCACTTACATAATAAATATCTTCCGTTTTGAAAATTCTTGATGATTCATGTTACAATTGCTTGAACTTTCCTTCTATTGATAAAAGAGACAAGATGACAATGTCATTTGTAAGTAATGATCTAATTGTGTACCAGAACCTTGCATGTAGTACATATAGTAATTATGATATCAAGGGTGTTATAAGGGACATAACGCCTGAGAGCCTCCGGCTCGAGGGCTGTACATCGGCTGCGGGCGTTATTTCTGTTAACGCCAGTGGTGCTTTCAACGTTTTATGTCCTACTTTATTACAACTATAATTTTAGTTCAAAAATATATATATATTTATACAGGGTGTTTTTTTAAAGATGGGCCATACATCATAATCGTAGGTGTGTGCCAACAGATAATGTAAAGGCGTTAAGTTATTTAAATTACATTGCGCCAATTGTTCTCAAATCTTGGCCTTGCGCTTAGTTATTTCACTGACAGTTCTCAATTTGATCCTTCAAACTGCATCAACGAAGCAGGAACATGTATTCCGCCGCTCGAAAAGGTGTTCATGTAGTACAATTTGTACAAGAGTGCACAGTAGCTGAGTGGTGTGCGAGCTATTCTGTGCTGAGTATCGGGTTTTGTTTGGTTGCCGGTGGAAAACAATTCGAGTAGGTACCTTTTGTAATCTTATACGTTTATATCTGATTTGAATAAATTTGTTGTTTTAGAAACAATTTCTACAGTACTGTGGCAGATGATTCGCGAGGAAGCTATGACTGAAACAATTGATGCAATGTAGGTAAATTTCCCTATGGCCCATTTTAAATAACTCAACGCCTTTACATTGTCGTATGGCTCATCTTAAAAAAAAATACCCTGTATAATTATCGTTCGAACATGGTTCGAATCACCGAACGTTCAGACTTTTTGACGTTAGGTACTGATAAAGTAGCTGCTCGCAATACTCGCGCTACCTACTTAATAATGGATTTTTAAAAACGCGCTAAAATTTACGTGTCAATCCCATTTGCGGAATAAAAATATATAAATGAATTCAATACACGCTACCACATTTTTAAGAGTAAAACCTTTCTGATGATTTTTTAAGGGTTTTCCTCAAAAACAGGCATGTTTGATTATTGCACCAGCACTACCTATAGGTACTATCTTCTGAAAAAAAGTTGATATACTACTTATGATGTATGTAACGTACTAAACAAGTTTTGTCTGTCCGTCCTAATTGATCTTTTTGAAACACTTTTTCTTCGTTCCGTCCGAATCCATGTCTGCTGTGTTAAAGTACTTTTAGGGGAATGGTCCTAGAGCTCTGGAATTTTTTTGCAATGACTAGCCGATACCTTGAAGGTCTGCCAGACGACTATTAAATTTGGCTATCTTAGGGGGGGGACGTCATGAATTGCTGAAATGCTGTTTTTTGAAAGTAAAAAGTTTTACATGCGACAACCAATTGGTCTCAAATTTTGCAAACGTAATACGCATGCCTTTAGTAGAGTAGTGCTAAGTAAAACTTTTGAAGAGGGGAAGTGAACACACGTTCTATCGTTCAAGGTATTCTAATGAAAGGTCTGTACAAACTATAACCTTTCCGCGCGACTCCTTTTCGAGATCAGTGGGTGACCGTCCGGGGGGGGGGGGGGGTTGAAATTAATTATGGTATTCTAAATTAAAGGTCTCAACAAAAGGAATTAATTTCTACCAACCATAATCCTGCTTATATTTCAAGAACAGATTGTCGGTGGAAGCGGGTACTCACAAAGAGCGATTGGGACGTCTGGAAGAAATATACCCATTGGTGATGTCAAAACTGTAACAACGAATATTCTCCGATGAAAGTACTCTCAAAGGCAAAATGAATATAATGGGCAAGTGGAACGTCAGGACGAGACATATCAATTGGTGATGTGAAAACTATCAGTGTAAATATCTGCAGAATGGAGTGTTGGCGGAAGGTACTCTCAAAGGGCGGAAAGATCATTTAGACGAGACACATCTACTGGCGATGTAAAATCTTAATTGTGAATATCTCGAAATAGTTGGTGGAAAGGGAAAATGCAATATTTCGGAGAATTTGTCTAAGAGCTTGATTCTTCTTGCATTATATAGCGTAGGTTTTGAAAGTATGCTAGTTTTATGTATAGAGAGCCCCTTCCCTGTTCATCATCTACGAAGAAAGTAAACAATTTATGCTTGTTTATGGTTACTTTCTTGTTTGTTGTTTGTCTGTGTGTCACGAATTTGTCACTCGATGTGCACACGCGACCCGATAGAGAATCAAGTAGCGAATGCCCATCGATTCACTCCTTTACGTCTACGGCCACGAAACTAGAAAATTCTTGTTGCCTTCTTACTGATAGAATATAAAAAACAAAAAAACTTAAAAAAAAAACACTTCCGTCATCAAAACACAGAATCTCAACCAAGCACCCAGAAATGGTTCTGTATTTGTTACCTTTATCATGAAGGAACCGATTGCCCCTGACTTGCAACCGGAACCGTTATTCAAGAAGTTATGATAACGGGAACCAATACAGATATCGTTATTATTAGTATCAAAGAACCAATATTATTTAATTCTCTCTCTCTTGTAGATAGACACATTGCACTTTGTGAGAGGGAAGTCCGTTTTTATTGTTATACTTAAAATTTGATTTTGGAGTGTGTTTTAAAAAATTTTCTTCAAATTAACATTAGTGATTACTGGATATTATTGCCACAGATTGTAAGATAGGTAGGGTTAAATGTAATCATACTCATGACCATTTTCCCTATGACAAAAAAAGATCTGTGTCCAAGTGTACAGTTTGCCATGCTTAGATTCAGGCATATATATAAAATATGATATAATATGGATAAACGAGTGGACACGCCTATCGCCAACATTGGAAGAGGGAATTATACTTCTGTCCTTAGATGTGGAATAGGCGCTAATGCGCTTGTCTGTTATTATTAGTGTTATTTACCAAGCATTTACCCCAGTTTGACATAACGGATTGAGGTTAAATAGTTTGTTTTGTTTATGTGCTATTTGCGTAATTTTAATAGTAAAGAAGACTTTTGTATGTATTGTAGATTGGTCGATACCATGGAGGACAGAGCTTTGGCCCGTTACAAATTAGGTTAATGCTTCTTTGTGCCTTCATGAATTTATGTACCTACCCAAGTCAGCGAGTAAGTCAGTGGTTAAATTAAACGTTATCTATACATTTTTTATGACTTTGTCCACTCACACCCACATAAAAATTGCTCCCTAAGTTAATTAATGAGCATTCCATTATCTAACCTACCTGTTTTATAAAAATCCTCTACGACATTGGGATAAACAGATACAAAGGCTAATACATTGCAAAGTTTAACTTTAGTATCCAAATCATTCTGAAATCGATTATAGATCTCCATTAATAATGGTAAACCATCCAGACGAATAATATCATGGCCATTGTTTCCCAAAGAACAATGATGCAATAGGGACTCGAGGCAAAGTGGTAATATATCTGAAGCTGATTTTATACGGTTTCGTAGTTCCGACATTGATTTGTGTTCTATAAAATGCTGAGCTGGATCCTGCAGATAATCACGGATTATAGTCTACTGACTTGCATCGTAATTATTTCCTTTAGGTAGATATCCTTATACAAATAAACATTTACAAATTAACATAATGTGCTCCAAAGGAAATAATTGTTTTGTCAATTTTAATTATTTTTACCATATGCTTAGGAGAGATCACCACAATACTTAAATGTGCTAAGTATAACGACATTGAAAATAATACACTATTACTTTATCCTCAAACTATCGTTATTTGTTGTTCACATTCAACATAGTGCCTACTATGAAAATTGTTTTTATACCAAATGCAGTCTTTTAGATTTCACACAGAATTGTGATTAGCTAAATTAATAATATGCAAACCTTCCAATCTATCACAATGCACAATTTTTGCTTTTGTCTTGCATGTTCACTGAACCCGATCCAATTTATTGTTTAGTGCCCAATTAAGACAAGCTTTTACCTTTGTACAGAGTGGCCCATTTTTGACTCTCCGTAATTGTTAGTGCTATCAAAAAAGTAATATAGGTGTTCATGTGCTCTTTTCGCGTCAAACTTAAAACGGTAAAATCAAAATTTGAAAGTATTCGCTCGCTTAAGAGATACAGAGGAAATTGGCAATTTTCTCGGCAATTTTAGAATGATCCTGTATTTTCTTAGAGAGATGCAGGAAAATGTTTATTACAAAAGTTTCTTTATAATGATTGTTGAATAATATTGCCGCTTTCAAAATAAAGTATACAAGGTCAAGTGCAAACGTTATCAGACATAACCTCAGTTTTGTAATTGGAACACGCTGTACATTTTGATCTAAAAATATAGCATATTGAATGTTCTTTCCAAAAATATAGCACACAATGGTATTAAAAAGATTCAAGTGATCCAAAACATTTCAAAAATACTGTGAATTGATTAAATTATTACATGTTAAATTTTTGAAAAGAGAATTTAATATTCTATTTTTTTAGACAAAATATACAGTGTGTTCCATTTAAAAAAATGGTAGGGTCCATTAACTTTTTTACAAGACCCCGTATACTTACTTATTTTGAAAACATTTTTCCGTATCTCTTTCAATTAAGGAAATATCTCTCATTCTCAAGTTGACAATTTTTTTATTTTCCCCGTATCACTTAAGCGAACGAATATTTTCAAATTTGGATTGTACCATTTTAAGTTAGACCCAAAACCACCTATATTATTTTGATAGTACTAACAATTACGGGAATACGCTGTAAAAGTCGAAAATGGGACACCCTGTACATATTAATAGAAAATCTCGAAACACGTCAAATTTAAATCATAATCACATGATTTAGTTTTGTACACAATAGTCTTCCGTGCGAGCTTCGGTGTTTAACCGGGGGGATGAGAACCTATCCAGGGGTGTGCTGGAGGGGGCTCGGTTGGGCGCGCGCGAGCCTGTTGTTAAATTTAATCACGTTCGCAGAGCCTATTGTTGAAATGGATAATTTATAAGTTTCTAACCCTTACTAAATTTACTAATGGTGCCAGAGCTGTCAAGGAGCCTTCGCAAAACGAACAATATATATGGTCTCTTTTAGAATGACACCTGTTTTTTTCTTGTTTAAGGGCCATGTGCTTTTTTTTAAATATTAATTTACTAATTACGTATATTTTTCCTTCAAACTACACCAAATAAAGTACATATTTAGCAGTTTTAATTTTTCGATACTAACTTACTGACATGTTTTAAACACGCATTTACAGGTATCGCCTCCAGTTTATTGAAATACTTATTAGTTGGCTAGGCGAGCCCTCTGATAAATATTTTCCAGCACACCGCTGAACCTATCATATGGGGGGGCTGCGAGGCCTCAATTTTTGTATAATTCTTTAGAAAACAACTGGTTACCCAGAAGTTACAGTAGCAGCAAAAGCACGTTCTAAAGTAATAGAATTAAAGAATTATCAGTACAAACTTTAAAGTTAGGTATTAAGACCATATATTTGCGTATCTAACAATTCTCATTTCTATATACCTACGCTAACTAAATTTTACTTTTAACATATACGACGTATACCTTTCAATATAGCACTGCTCTTCATATCTCCATAAAAAACAGCCTAAGTGTAAGATCAGGTGATTTTACTGGCCCTTTTATCTATCCAGTAATTTGAAAATGTTGAGGTACTGGCGGATGTTGATTGGTAATGTGTTGGTGCACCATCTTGCTGTAACCTTATCGTATTCACTACAACTTGAGGGTTTCCTAGATCAGGATATACATTGGCCAAAGGTTAATATGGGAAATAGGTTTTTAGTGTACTCTAGTGAATTTCGGTAATCAGATTTTATGTCTTTTATGTGAATTTTGCAATAAATTTGAAAACAATAACATTTTTGGCTCGATTTTTGGATAGAGTATAAAGAGATATCAAAATCCCATACTTCCCATTTAACAAATTGGGGGTTGTAACTGTCCCTAGAAGGGGGGAAGGTAGGGATCACATTTAAGAATTTCAATTTTGAATTTAAATTTGATGTATTTCGGGATTTTCTGTAAATATCTACAGTAACCGAAATGATGAATTAATTTCATTTGGTTGTCCATCGCGGTAATTATGTGAATTATCTGGCGAGATCAAATAGAATCTGAACATTTTGCTAAACCATATTATGTACCTTACAACATAAGAATGTCCAAAATGCCAACTGTTCCCATTCTGGCAGGCTTTGGTAATTTCTTAAAAAAAGAAATTAAAAGTAGTTCTAGTGTAATATTTGGCATTTTGCCATGTTCTTTGTCTATGCACAATTTGGCAGTATTGTTTATACCTACAGGGTGTCCCAAAAGCGACCAACAGCCCCCCCCCCCCCATTTGAAATGGGTGTATTTAATTCAATTGTTAGATTCTAAGTAACTATAACTTTGATTATAGTTATTTTCTTGTTACTTTGGACCATGATCTATCTTACCAACCAGTAGCCTAAAAAATTTTGTCAAAACTTCTACTTTTACTGACTTGCAATTTCTCAAGCAAAGTGCCCCGGCATGGCCGAGACTAAGAATCCTGACATTATTTCCCCAATGATCTGTATGTCCCCCACAACCCTGCTTACACCACTGATTGCTGCAATGGCAGTTGGCATTCGTACTGTTTGGCAAAATGTCCTCGACTTTGCAACGTCGTACACAAAATGCAAAATGTCAAAATTCGGATAAATGTAGCTCACCTCTTCCAATGCTCTGTTGATGAAATATTCAACACAAGAGTGTGGAGCTTCATCATTTAGTGAGGTAAGTAAATCCTTCATACATTTGACGAGCATTTCGTAGCTGTAAGTTAAGTATCTCGACGGAGGTTTTGGAAAAAGACGATAATCAATATTTTTCATGCGAGCTAATGTCACTGCGGTTTTAGCATTCAGCTGCTGACCCAAATACGAGTAATGCCAATTATCTAAATTTGTAACATTGATAAGCCGGCCAACCGCATTCTCTCGTACAAATGCTTTATCACTGTTTGCCCATTTTAAAATCTGTCGGGCGTAAATAAATTTCAACGTTTTCCACATGTTTTGTTTTGGTTCAAAATTTATGCTGGGCATGTTGATGAAATCCATGTTTTCTAAATCGTCATATTGTTCCTCGAAGTCGGGATACTTTGCAGGCTCCAAAAAATTGACTACAGATGTGTCCAATACGTTATTTAAAGTGTCGTAAGTATTCTTAATTTGTTTTACAAGCCACAAAACACTGCAAATTGGGAAAATAGTAATAGGTACCATTTCACAGAATTTATCTACCTAATTCCTAGTGTTGTGGTGCCACATAGTTTTAATAATTTCTTATTTTGGCTCCAAAATGTCATTTATTGATTATTGTATTTAATTTTTAAAAAAATGTGAACTTTGAAAACTTAAAAAATAACCTATATTGGAAGTGCATACTAAACCGACGAATCGCAACGTAACTAAATGCCTGCCTCCTTGCGGCTTTATATCGAGCGAGTCAAAAAATTCAACATCATAAAGTGCTTTCCATTCGAAGTTGATTGACTCCCAAACTGCTCTGCACCTGCTCTCGGTGACCACACCGTTTTTAGCAAATGGAATAATAGCAGCTGACAGTTGAATTAAACAAAAAAGTCCTATCCCCATATAAGTGTATTAAGCTTTCTCTACTAACTGTCTCTAACGTGTCGGGGGGGTAGGGAATTGCAAAACGAGCTGATTACACGAGGCAGTATTATGCTGAAAAATAAAACGAGTGACCAATTTTGTAAGCTGGTAGTTTCTATTGCCAACAAACTGTCGAACTGTCATTAGGGGTCAATGTCAAAGATCGAAGCGTAAAATCGTTTGAATTATTTCTGGTCGTAGCGCTGGATATTTTTACTTTACAATAATTTGGTGCCGTTTTATATTGTTCCTGTGTGTGCTTATCCTCAAACATACATAGGATAGAGTATGTATAGTACCGTTGAAACAAAAATGAAAACAAAATTACCACTTAAACAATAATTTAGCACATTTACACCAAAAATGATAACGGCTTGAAACAATAAAAGTTAACGGTATTTTCCACACACGTGATCCAGCAATCATTGAAAATTATAAAAAATGTAAAATGCTGTGTACAAAACATTAAACATTAAACACACAAAAAAAACCCAACAAACTTAAAGATACGATCCTCTCTCGAAGACAATTTATAAACCAAGATGGCTATCAAAAAAAGCGTTCATGCTCTCGAGACGGCGCGGGCAGCTTTCTTTCAAAAAAACTCAGATGATTATCAGAGACATATGACTAGTGAAGGAAGAAGGAATAATTAAACCATTCAGCAGCCTCCTCACCTGTGGCGCTAGGTAGATCTGCACGTGGTTTTCCGTGGATTAGGTAACGTAACGTAACAAAAAAGATATGTATCCGTTGTTTAGAGTAGATGACACGCTAAACCGGCTTTATGAGGGTGTTCGAACCTGGGTTGAGGTGAATTTTTCACCTGTGGCAGAGATGGAAATTATCTTGGACCAGTTTTGAGCATTCTGCCGGCTACTCCGAATTCGGTTTTCCTGCAGTTTTTCTAATTCGTAAGGTCTAGTCTAGGCCGTCAGGAGTAGTATAGAACAACTTAAGACCTTCTTCAGAGGCACCTCTAAAAAGCATTATGCGGGTCACTGTAATCGGGCTCAAACCTGTTGAGGGCCCAGAACAAGAGGATAATAAATAAATAAATACAAATTACTTACTAGTTCGGAGTGCTAAGTTGTTTTCCACCTTAGATATGAAAAGTGGGTACTGGCATAAAAGGTGATTTAGATTCTAAACATCGCGTGAAAACCGCATTTTTCTGAAACTACTTTAGAAACAACTACTTTCGTCTCTAAAAAGGGCGAAGAAAATGTGATTTTCCTGTCTAGTGAGGAAAGTAAAAAACAATTATCTTAATCATGATATTTAAAATTGAAAACATACCCGTAGGTATCTAGATTACTGTGTGTCAAGTGTCAAACTCCATTATTGCATACGATAATTTTTCAATTTTGAATGTAGTTTCCAAAAAAAATGATGTATAAAACGTGAGAACAAAGTGTTTTTTTTTGTGACGGGAAAAACGTTTCAGATATTATCTCTGTTGATAGGTAACAAAATAATTATCACGTTTTATGTGAGTACTTTTTTCCCGGATATACACATAAGCATAAGATATACCAAGCATATATATAAGAGAAGATATATATGATACCAAGATACTATGACATAAGTAAAGATATATTCAATTTTTGTGAGGCTACTTTCACTGCTTCTACTAACGAAGGTGATGGTGAAGTCTAGAGAAAATTCAGAATCAGACATTTTTGACCTTATATGATTCAATATAACTACTAAACAATCATTAAATTCGAAATGTTTAAATCAAATGACAAAACTGAATTGACAGCACAGAATACGGCCTTCTCAGAATAGAAACAGCAATGTTACAAATTTGTATTTATATATCTATGATTTGTATGGTATTTTGGCGGACCCTGGTGGGTGTACTGTAAACTAAAGCATCAAAATCAGAGTAGCGCCATCTGGTGACTAGCTTCTAAATCCATGAAGTAATTTCCCTAATTCGATCTAAATAACAAATATAGATAAAGAATACACAGTTGTTAAATTGCAAGTATATTTAGATACAATCACATTACATTATTTAACACAGACATCTTAAATTACATGTTTACAAATTACATATAAAACTCAGAAGTAAGTGCAACTTACGCTTTGTAGAAGTTAACACTTTGCAAAAAGATCCTTACGTAACGAGTTGTCCTACGAAATATTTGGTTTTAATTGCTGTTTGGACTACATATTTTTGTTAAAAAATATCTTTAGAACTAAATTTTTTGTTCCAAGAGGTGATAAAACCGTTTCAGCAAATTGTCACACAAGTTTTTGACAACAAATGTTAACTTGATCCTGGTGCTTACTGGTTACTTGAGAAGCGAGGGTGGAAGTTGAATTATCTAAAACGAATTACAATATAAGTATCTACATCTATATAAATATAAAACTCAAGTCTACACCCTTTTGCGCCTATAGGTACAGTTGGTAATAATTCTGCGTCAATTTGTACCTGTTACTTACCTTGCATAAATTGCAAAAGGAAAGAAATAACAGCACATTTCAACCCTCTTCGCGTTTCAAGCACAAAACAAGCTGTTTCAAAATGTGGGAAACGATGCCTTTTTGATATTTTATTGTTACAATCCGACACACAACACTTTTTACGGTCACATAACTTGTTCATATTTTAAATCTTTCAAAAGTCAAAATTGACATGTGGAAAACCTGTGTACGTATAAAATCGACGGTAAAAATATTTCCTGTAACGAGCAAAATTACAGGTTTTGCAAAAAAATATTTGAGTCTGCGATAAATAGTTCTCCGTACAACCACGGGAAACGCTGTAATCAGTGACAATTTAGCGCCATTTTTTGCGCGATCGGTCATTTCTGACTATTTACCATGGGTGTTTCCATGACAGTACGTAGAATTTACCAGTTGCTATGATTACGACGACGCCAAAATTACTTACCGATCTAAAAACAGAACAGCAAAAATACTTACCGACGCCTTTTTAAAAATCAACAGTCTTACATTACATTTAATCTTTAATTATTGTTAGGTACATTAAACGTACAATTTGTGCTGTTGTTTCCTATAGCAAGACGCTCATAAAGTCATAAAGGAAGTGCAAAGCTAGTAAACTACATCAGACACATGCACATTTTTATGAAATTATTAATTTCAATTTTGACATTAAACTGGTTACCTAGTGATGTACACCATACCACTTCGATTATTTCGATTTATTCTGCTCGTTAATTTCTTAGTGCATATTTATATTGGTTGGATAATTTTAATTTCGATCGCGCAAAAAATGTTATAAGCACGTCGAACGTTAAGGGTTACCGTTCTCAGACAATAATTGGAGTCGTCGCTTCGCTCCTCCTCCAAACAATTGTCTTCGAACGGTAAAAATCCCTTACCGTTCTCCATACTTAATATACTATATGTTTCTGTTCTGTGAAGGTCTTATTCTGTGATTGACAGATATTTGAGTAAAGGTCTCCTTATAGTAACGCAGTTCGTATTGTCGTGAGAAGTACAACAGCCTATCTGCAGTTTAAAACTTCAAATTTCTATAAATCGATACGACTTCAATATATCGTTTTCCCCGTCACTGTCACGTCACAGAAAAAAAATAGTGTATTAACTATTAAGTATACACGGGAAAAATGTTAGATTTTAGCTCTCAGTTTTTTGTCTCCCTCCGCTTCGCGTCGGGAGACAACACAACCTCGAGCTCTAATCTATAAATACTTTTTTCACTTGTTTAATAAATAACTATTTCTACTCGAGTTGAAAAACTACACTTTTTACTCTAGTTGTACAAATATTAACTATTACTATATAGAGAGTTATGTCAGTGACGGCTTGTTACGGTCATGCCCGTCTGTGCTACTCTCCCGCAACTTTCGTATAGTCTTGAGAGGAAGCAACAGAAAGCAACAATGAGGCAGTGTAACGCAGGTAATATATAGGTAGGTTGTGAATAGAAAGTATTTCACAGCGATGATTTGTGTATGGCTATATGGATTCTTTAGGAAAATTTCGATTTAACGGGAGAATTAACGGCTGTTCTTTCCTAAACCATGGTTTATGTGTGTACCAAATTTGAGCTTATACGACAAAGCGTTTTTGAGTTATCGTGCGATCGACCGGACAATCGGTTGTTATATGGACGTTCAGACTTTTGGACGTTAGGTACCTATTGATAACTGTTCGCAATACTCGCGCTACTTAATAAATGAAAACGACAGTCTTCGTAAATGCGTACCTAACTCTTCCGAGTTCTGTTTGGTTGTGTAAACTGCGTGGTTGGAAAATTCCAATCATAGGAAAAATTTTCCATTCTGACATTTTTAAATAACTCGCATGCGCAGGTATACCAACCCTGTAGGCTGTATTTCAAAGTTTTACAAATTCAATTGGAGATTGCGGTAAGTACTATTGCATTTTTTGTAACTCGTTAGTATGCAGATTTTCTTTTTATAGGTATTTGTGCAACAAAATGATCACTTAACTTATCAAAAACGGAAGAAATTTATATCGGTTAAGTTTAATAGCCTGGAAAATAACAGCAGTCAAAAGAGGACATTTGATACCCGCCATTTTGGAACACGTTACACACGTTTCTTCAGTTTTTAGTTTTAAAAGAGAGTAGTGTACATATAGTTTTTAGCGATGTCGAATGAAGAAACTTCCGCAGACCGTAATGTAGAAATATGGAAAATCAAGAAGCTGATAAAAAGCTTGGAATTAGCGAGAGGGTTAGTTAATTTAACATGAAGGCATGCCAAATCTTTCCATAAGGTCACTTGTCATTTTCCATTTTTAATCTTGCATGTTCAACAATATGAATGTGGAAAATTTGTTACAGGAATGGCACAAGTATGATATCGCTTATTATTCCGCCAAAAGATCAAATATCTAGAGTTAGCAAGATGTTGGCAGACGAATTCGGCACTGCTTCCAATATCAAGTCTCGAGTAAACCGTCTATCAGTTTTGGGAGCGATTACATCTGTACAACATAGATTAAAACTGTATACGAAAGTACCACCTAACGGTTTGGTTATTTATTGTGGTACAATTGTAACAGACGAAGGAAAAGAAAAGAAAGTGAATATCGATTTCGAACCATTTAAACCAATCAATACCTCTTTGTACTTATGTGACAATAAATTTCATACAGAAGCTCTCACTGCACTCCTAGCCGACGATAATAAATTCGGATTTATTGTTATGGACGGTAATGGGGCATTGTTTGGTACCCTACAAGGCAACACAAGGGAGGTGTTACACAAGTTTACAGTTGATTTACCAAAAAAGCATGGAAGAGGTGGTCAATCTGCTTTACGTTTTGCCCGTTTACGTATGGAAAAAAGACATAATTATGTGAGGAAAGTGGCCGAAGTCGCGACGCAATTATTTATTTCTAATGACAAACCAAATATTGCCGGTTTAATTCTTGCGGGTAGTGCGGATTTTAAGACTGAACTTAGTCAATCAGATATGTTTGATCCTGTGAGTCTTTCCATGCCGATTATTTGATTGTGAACGATTTTTTTTAGAGATTGCAAACAAAAGTCATTAAATTAGTAGACGTTTCGTACGGAGGTGAAAATGGATTTAATCAAGCGATCGAATTAGCAGCTGAATCTTTACAAAATGTTAAGTTTATACAGGAGAAAAAGTTAATTGGTAGATACTTCGATGAGATTAGTCAAGACACAGGTAAATTCTGTTTCGGCGTGGAGGATACGTTGAAAGGATTGGAGCTTGGTTCTGTCGAGACCTTAATATGTTGGGAAAATCTTGATATTCAAAGATATGTGTTAAAAAACCATGCAACTGGAACTGAAACCGTTCTTCATCTAACGCCGGAACAAGAAAAGGATAAATCACACTTTACAGACAAGGAGGTAATCACTTTTTTTTAAACTTATTGATAATTTGGTATTAACCGTATGAGGCATATTGCTATCCATTTGTGGTTATTCCATCTTCATGCTATGTGAGTGCAACTTGAATAACAGTGCTACCATTAGGATGGAATAACTAAATACAGAAATGTTAGGTGACATTTAGTTAATAGGTGTCCGAAGTAGGTAACTCAGGTAGCAAAAAAATGGCCAATAGCAGTTTATTCTGAAGAAAAACTGAAAATAAGTTAGTCATGCATGAGTAGTTTAAAGGAACCTTTATGTCATAAAATAAGACATCACATTATGGTTTTGGTGGCAAAAGAATGTTGTTAGGACACATACAATTGAAATGGACTAGATCAAATGAAAACAAAAATTGATTCACAACCCATCTGAAAGAGTAACCGCAAAGCTAACCTTAGCACACTCACCATGGAATTTTGTGCACATATTAAAGTGTTTATTTATTGCTTCTTCCATTTGGTAGAATTTATTTTGAGTCTAAATACATTTTACCCTCGATTTTACCATTTTGTGGAATTCCCAGCTTAATGTTAAGCCGCGTAATAAATTTCATACTACATACAGGAATAAATAAGCAATACATGGCACTTTAATATGTTCTATTACATTTTTCAAAATTTTATGAAGAGAGTACTACTTTTTAATTTTTCTCAGCAACCATAAGTTACAAAGATGGGTGGCAAGTCTGTGAATAGGTTTTCGGGTATGCCCTATTTTGAAAAAAATTGCTTTTTAATTAGAATTCCAGTACAATCAATAAGCATTATCGCAAGTATTGTAATATCGACTTAAATCGTTATCTTTTTGTTATTTGCGACATTTTCAATTCACTACATGTGAAATTATATCACTCACTAGTAGGCGGGGGACACTTTGTGACCCAAAGCCTCAATCTTCAAATGAGTTCGAAAGTAATTTTTAAAATCTGTTCGAAAATTTTGTTCCTTATCTCGTCAAGTATGTACACAAGGATGTTCGGGGAATTCTCTCCATTTTCGTTGTCGTTGTAGGGCATACCCGAAAACCTATTCAAAGCCCATCATTGTAACTCTTATGGTTGCTGACAAAAAAAATTAAATAAGAAATCCAAATTGCACCACTTCTTTAGGGGTGGCCCCCAAACGAAACACGTTGGACTCACGGTTTATTTGGAAAAAGTGCTTGTCCACCCAACTTTTTTTTTACATATGGTCATGTAACACCCTGTATAAATCAGCAGATATACATTTCACGACAAAAACCAATGATTGTAAAACTTATGACATTAAAAAACACCAAAAAACATGTTAAAAAGCTGAAAGGTAACTAGATTTATCTAAACAATTTTATTACTGATTTAAATTTGGAACAGCTAATAATTTAATGTGATCGGGTCGAGAATTAACAAGGTATGTGATTGGTACTCAATGCATTTTTTGGTTTTGAAAGCTTTGGCTTGAAAATCATGTTTATTTTATAGCATATGTTAAATTGACATTTTAGTAGGTTTGGTAGGTTTGAGTAGGCTAAGCCGTTCTTTAACCGTAAGGATAGATAAAGTGAAAGAAATGATTGTGCATTCTAATGACATATGTCATTCTTATTGCAAATGCACGATATAAAATGACATTCAGACAATTCTAAATTAAATTCAGAATTGTCAGAAGCTAATGATTTGTATGGCTTCTGCTATAAAATAAAGTTTTGCACGGCGATAAATGGAAACTAACCATCTCGTGAAACATCTTTCACCCAATGGTTAAAATATCCCTTTATCATCTTGTATAATAAATAACTATTATTCCTGGTAATATGCTTAGGATTACACACTTGTCAGTTGTCATCTTGACACATAGGAGCATTTGCTCAAAATTGTGCATTTAAGGAATAGTAAAATGCCACTTTGCGTGCTTGAAATAAATTTAGCCCAAGTGTAATTGCAATTGGAACACTATAGTTTCAACGGCCCAAATGGCAAATTTTCCAAAATATTCAGCAAAATAGATTAATAAACATTGGGTTATTAGTTTATTACTACACGAAGACTGGAACATGACTTCCCAAGAGTATCCCCTAAATGGACAAATGTTGGCTTAATTGTGCATGATTAATTTTCGACAGAAAATGTAACAGTAATATCTTGTCTGAAGATCCAAAATTACTAAAAAGTGCAAGAAAGTTTTCTATTAATTTTTTTAACCTTGTCTATATTAATTTGGGTTTATCCATGCACAAATCTTTAAACTAGGGACCATTAGTACCGCAGTGCAGCTTCCACTCCGGTCCACTAGGTTACCAAAACTTAAGAAAGAACAGAAAGACACCCCTGGGAGTATTTCTATTGAAAATGTTAAAATATTCAAAGATGTTTTTAGGAAGATTTTTTGAAGATTTGAAAAGGATTTTTAAGGTTCACAAATAGATTCTAGTAAATTTTTTAGCGAGATAATGTAACAATATTTCCTAAAGTTTATTGCTAAAAAAGTTTCCAAGAAGTCACAAAAAGATTAGCAAAAGGGTTTTAAAAAAATTGAATAAGATTTTGTGATTCAAAAAATGTGACCAAAAGATTTGAAAGATATTTAAAATTTCTTAGAAATTTTTCAAAATTTGTGAGGCGAAAGAGTGCTCAAAGATTTCTAGTGATAAATTTAAAAGGTTTTTCAAACATTTTTTCCTGGGAAAAGAATAACTGCACGAGGAATGCCAACTATATAAAGTCTCGGAATATTTTGAAAACTTGACAGTACATTAATACCAATATGCATAATTTATCTAAAATATTTTTAGGTTGTCAATTTATACATATATAAAAAATGACGTTTGCAGCCCAAATCATAACTTCCTGTCTATATGTATGAGACGTATTTGATAGGGGTTCCGTTTTAGTGAACTGTATTGTTGATTATGATTATTATGAATAACTACAGGGGGTCAAAAATAAAATTTGATAGAAAAAATGTCAACGTTTTACATCATTTTAAGCAACTTTTAAATAATAAAAAGTCACATGAGTTTTTTAGAAAAGGAAAAAGGGTACAAGTTACATATTTTCGTCTGCAAAACGGTTATTTTGAGTGAGTTGAGGAATGTTCTCTAAAATTGTTAAATCAAGGTTTCCCTTATTATTATTCTTGTATTTTTGACATTTTTTCTCGATCTTAACGGCGTATATTAAAACGAATAGAGAATAGTTTGAGGTAAATTTACTTAATTTTACTTAAAAAATTATAATGAAAAATCCAGATTTGGCTTTCGACGTTTTTAAGCTAATTTTTCCCGTCTCTAATTTCAACCTACAACTAAGCCGCATATCTATTCGAATAAAATGAGTCTTCCATAGTATATTTTCCATTTTATCATGACATTATAATGATCATCGTTCTTTTTAACTAAAATAATAAACGTAATGAACGTACAATAAAAACAAGTTGTAAATCAGCATATGCATGATTAAAGCGCATTTTTGGTAATGCAGGTCAGTATTTTATTAGCGAAGTTTAAAATTATCGATCTCACGAGTAATTTTGGCTGCGTTAAATAATTAATTTTATTTAATTTCAATTGACGGTACGTCTTGATTTTGTAAAACAAATCACAAAGTAAATAATAAGTTTTTATACTAGTAGCGCTATCTAACGGTAAAATTATAGCACCTCCGAAACCCATATCGAAATTATTTTCTTCAATTATCGATCTCACAAGTAATCTAACTCAAAATAGACTAGTGCCTGCACATCTACACTATAGCAGAAAGCTTTTAGTGAAAATTTGAAGTCTCTAGCTATTGTAGTTGTGGAGATCTAACGCGGACAGCCGGCCTGCCAGCAATAACGAATATAATAGCGTATTTTTTTCAAAAAAGCGCGGGCGCTCGGATTCGAACCCACGTAGTTGCAGTCGTAAGTTGGCGGTTAATGGTACATTTTCCATATACCACTGTCTTATTTTATTCTGCTAAGGCCATCTCCTGCTCTGTATTATTCTGTAACTCGTAATATATCACAGGTGAGTTAAATCTGAGGCACTGTATACATATCAACTGACGGCTTTATCCAGTGCTACATGTTTCAGTATATTAATTTTTATGTCTGCCCAATAGATACTTAGTTACCCGTGATTAGTTAAAACAGGAAGTTTAATTGTATTTTGTTGTAGATGCGTTATCAAAATAAAAGGACGCTTAAAAGGATAAGCGCAATTTTCACTGTAAGTGTATTTGAAGTCTTTGTTTCTATCGGAATTAGGGTTGCCAGATTGATACCCAACATTTTCGTGATTTTGTGCCCGTTTGTGGAGGGGGGGGGGGGCATACGGAACCTTCTAGATCATACTCAATTGAAGAAAGTATATTTATGGAGAAGAGGAGCATTCGACGATATCAGGGCCTTCTCCGACCGTTTGTCAACCCTGCCAAATGTAAAGTATATCAATTACTGTAGGAAACTTTTTCCACCTGCAACTATCATGGTGAAACTCAAAAAACTTTTTACTACCAGAATTATAGTGTTCTTGCATCAAAATAAGTGTACTTCGCCTGCGCCAACATTTTGTAAGGAAATTGTAGAACATTAGAACCTGGCTGTTCTACATTGCAATTCTATCCAAAAATTATGATCATGCCCGATTTCGATGAATTGTTTCATGTTACGTTCGTTACGTAACTCGTATCCATTTTGTTAAGTTTATAACTTTACATTGGACATGTTCACGATTTTGAAAAAGTTGAAAGCGAACATCTGTATGCAGTCTCATGTTCCTCTTTGAATCCATGTTTAGGTTTAGGAGAACTCGCATCCGCTCTACAAACTATCTAAATAGGTTACCTACCCTAATGATCTGCATTAATTTATCTATTTTTGGCCATCATATTTGTTGTTTAACTCTTAGGTGTTTTTCATTAAGTTCACATTTCTTCTACAAACACATTTTTTCATTCTATATTATTTTCTTTGGTTTTCTGTATGATTGGCTCATTTCAATCCACTTTTACGTTGAGTAGTTTTTAAATTCTTTTGTCTTTTCTATCTATTTTTTATTTTTACTGGAAACTCATTTCTCTACTAATTCCTTTATATACCTAATCTAAGCTGCTTTTATGTAATATGTTCTCCACGAACAAAAATAGTTATTATTATACAGGGTAAGTAAATAGTGTCGGGACAGGCGATTATCTCCTTTTTTTACGAAGCAATTTTTTTAATAATTGGTGTACTGATACACTGTGTCCGAGATAAGGATGTTTATCGTAGAGATCTCTGAAACCATAGAAGATATGATGGTCATGGTCAAATTATAGAAAAGATTCGCAATTAAAGAGTTATTATCATGCTTTAAATAAAAACTAGAAAATTCCGATTACTTACGAAGATATGCCAGAAAAACCGAAATTTGCCAATTTGTTTTTATTTTTTTTTTATGTTAATTGAACAGGTACAAAAAATAGAAAACACTTTCTCATTTATGTTTTTATATGGCCTGTAAAAAAAGTACATAGGTATTCTATTGAGTAGCATTTTTTATTTCGAATCCAACGATATGTCACACACAAAAAAGCAAAAATTGGAAACTGTTGATTTTAACAGAATGACGCACTCACGCTCTAATCCTGACAGAATACCTATTGGATAATTTTTTTTTTCCAGGATATTTGTATGGGATAATTTTTTTTTCCAGGATATTTGTTCCATAGGTATTCTAGCCCGGTTAGAGCGTTGTGCGCCGGTGCACCATCCTGTTAAAGTAGTTGGATTCGTAATAAAAACTGCTACTGAATACAATATGTACTTTTTTACGGGCCATATAAAAAAATGATTTTGATAATTTCTACGAAAAGAAGTGTTGTATGTATTGAAAATCTCTCAACGGTGCCTTTTAGAGCTCAAAAAGTGACAATAATAAAGTGTTTTTTATTTTATTGTATCTGTTCAAAGAACATCAGAAAAAAATAAAAACCAATTCGGAAAATTTCGGTTTTTCTGGTATATCTTCGGAAGTTATTGGAATTTTCTGGTTTTCTTTAAAACATGATAATAACTGTTTAATTGCGCAACGTTTCCCTAATTTAACCATCGTCATATCATCTATTTTTATTTCGAGATCCCCATGACAGACATCCTTATCTATGACAGAGAGTATAACAAATGTTAATGCATTTAATAATGATAATGTCTTCTTTTTTCGATTTCCAGTTTTGCTGGATGATCTTAACATTTTGTTTTTAAATGCGACATAGTTTGTATGTAGTTTTTTATTCTGCGTCCGATAACAATAAAATATACAGGGTGTTGCATTTAAAAACATAAAATTGTCATTTCTGGCTAAACCAGAAGTTGACAAAAGAAAACATTACGATTTTTAAATTGCATTACTACTTGTTATATGAGCAATTAAAACAAATTGCTTCATACATAATAGAGATGATTGGCCACTTTTTACCTACTTTGTATTAATAAATACTCCAACATTAACGACTTGTTATTAGCAGCGTTAAACAAATGGGGAAATATTGTAAATTGTTTCATTTCATAACTTGATTTTTACATTTTTTTTTAAATCAAGATAATTAATGATTTTGTAATTTTAAATTGCGGGCAAATTTTGGTTTTGTTTCTTTTTTAAATTAATGGTTCAGTGTTATTTTTCATTTTGGGTGAAATTTCAAATTTTCAATCTTACATGGGTGGGTTGGGTTGGTAGAGCAGCCTTGACTGAAACCCAGTCCACTTAAAAATGGATCACAATATAACTAGCCTATACACAGAGCCGCTCTGTGTACAAGAACAGTATTGCTTTCACTTGTAACATGAATTGACAATAAAAATGCAAACTAGTTGTAGTTGGTGAAAGTAAAAAGTAATTGATTTACTTTAAAACTTAAATGCACACCTGGCTGTACATTGCCCTATTTCACAGTATACAGTGAGATTGTTTTGAAGGTGAAAATATCATTTTTCAATGTAATTATCTATGTTCAGTGAACGGTTTTTTTTGCTCATAAAAAATAAAAATAAAAAATAAAATAAAAATATCAGCAAATGTAACCGTTTATACTGAAGTAAATAAGAAATTATCATGAAACTAGATCCCTGTAAAAAGCTTCAGTTATAGGTGTCATTCATAGATATTTGTTGTCAAAGGCATTTTTGGCGGTTAAATATTGACGTAAAAGCAAAGAGTATTATACTTTTTGGTAAGTTAGTAGCAGTATTAAACCATATTTTGAGGAGGTGTTTCTTTTACTAACGCTTTTTTTCATCATGAGAAATTAGAATTAAAAAGATAGGTATCGCTTTTAACTGCGACGTTGATAATGAATCGTCGACGGCTCAAACGACGAGGTCAGTAAAGCGTTATAGTGTTCGTCCCTCAAATACTGTTCCATTTTAATGGATTGTAGGTATCTTGCTGATCTTTGCAGTATGTAAGAGATTGCCTTTAACTTTATTCATCGTCCATTTTAACAGAATACTAACTATGCGTTTTCCGAAATGCAAAGCTGACAAACTAATGTCAACGTTAATTTATGTCGGGTCAGTAACCTTGACGTCAAATTTTGTACTTATGTCAAAACAAAATTGCGCACGCTTATTTGCAGGTTCTTATTCTTAAGTTGGAAGTTGTCAACTCTATTTTTAAATACTTATTTTTATTTATTATTTTGGTCAGTATAAATGATTGTATGAAAACGTATAGTTTTAAATTCTTATTTCTTATTTTTAAATTGTTATTTTTATTTTTTATGAGCATAAACTCGCCTATAGATGTCACTGTATATTTCTTCAATATGGTGCAGTATTGTTAGGTTTTAAATAAATGCTACTAATGCCATCTTCTATTTTAGAGTGGAGTGGAATTAGAATTAGTGGAGTGTCAACCCCTTTTAGAATGGTTAGCTAATAATTACAAAAACTTTGGTGCCACACTCGAAATTATAACGGACAAATCGCAAGAAGGATCCCAATTTGTAAGAGGATTTGGTGGAATTGGAGGTTAGTATGTTTTTTTAATTGTTGTATGGCTTTGTGTGCTCGCATGCCAGGTACAAACATTTATTTCTCAATTTGATGTAAAGAATGCAAAGTTGATGTTCAATCAATATTTTTTGTGCATGTTTGCATGAATCTTATCTTAACGTTGCAAATGTGTGTAGAAATTTAATTTACTAACTTTTCAAACTAATTAAATTATTTGTTCTGCGGCCTGGATGCAGGCATTCTACGCTACAAAGTGGATTTTCAGTCACTTCAAGCTGATGAGCCATTGGACGATGTCGACCTTGATGATTATTAAAAGGTCTACACGTCTTAGTGCTCCACCTATCATCAGGTATATTATTAGCTAACTTCTTACGAATGTTGCTTCTATTAATCAAGCGCAATTTATATGCTTGTAACAATATCATTTGTCTATAATTTAAGGCATTAACCTTTTTACCAGAATATTCCATTTTATTCTTAATTATGGTATTACCATACAAAAGGTAAAGAAATTAAAACCGCCATGTAACATAAACTCAAAATCAGTTTTTATATTTAAAGATGTAATCTAGAAACATCACACATGAAATTTACCATTGATAATACTACTAAGACTTGGTTTCTACTTGAACTCAATGCATTCGGCTTTATTCAACCATGTTTAGTAAACACAGAATATAGAAGACAACCCGTTTTAGTATCATTGTGACATTACATATGTTTTCAAAATGATGTACTGTAAAACAAAATAAAGATTGATACTGTAATTTGTGCGATCAGATTTTATAATGACAACGGAAACTGTTATTTTTCTTTGTTTGTAGGCCTTTTACGCTACAAGGTGGACTTCCAGAGTATGCAATTAGACGACTTTGCTAATGGAGAGTTTGATTTGGACGATTATTAAGTAAATTTATTTATAAAACCAACAGTGACAGCATTTGTAGGAATAGTGACAGCACCAAGTTGTGTGGGTTCGTTGCTCATTTTTGATATATAGATTTACAAATTGTTATGTGATAGTATAATTTCGTATTATCTCATTAAAAATCAATTTTGGAAACCATAATTTATTTTTTACGACGGATAAGTTATGTTTGTTAATTGTATATCAATAATTATATAAATTTTTACATGATGTATTATAATTTATACATACTACAGTTTTTATTGTTTTAAACATTTTGGTAATTGTTAGAAGCATGGTTGTATAGTTATGATGAATACAATATTTGATTATACTTGGTGATATGTTTTTGTACTGCAATATCGAACTCCTCACGACTATGCTAATTTCTATATGTGCGGAATATTTGTGCGCCTTTAAAGTCATTATGTAAGTATTTTTTAAGTTGCAAACCAGTTTTACTGAACAAAACTTGTAACAATTTTCAAGCCTATTCCATCATTTCCTACGAATTACAACCAATAGATGACATTAATTAGACAAACAATTGAAATTTGGAGACGCACAAATTTAAAAATATTGACTTAATCCACTCAAAGACTTGTACCTACCTTCATTATTCTATCTTTCCTAAATTCTAACAAAAATAGTATCAAGAATATTACAACGTCCGTCTTGAGGGTGGGTTTTTTTCTCGAAAGCAACACTAGAAAGAAAAGGTATTTGCACTTGTTCGATTAGGAATAAACTTGAAAGGGCATAGTACCTTTTCTACGATAGTTTTCGAGACCACTGTACTTATCATAAAAAAAACTCGCCCCATCGTTGGCGTTGCCATAAGCCTAAGGTGTGTATAGTAAGTAAATTATGATTATTAGTTGTATACAGTTGTTATGTTTAGTATTTTGTCTACCGATGTTTATAATGTGTTTCAATGTTCTTTGCTTTTAAATTATTACCTACACTTAATTTACACGTGTAATATCGTTGCAAACATTTTAATTTGAATTGTATTCGAAGGATACTTTTATGTATAATTTATTATACTATTTCGGGCGTAATTTATGTTTTTGTAAATATTCGCAATTCTGAATTAAAAAATGATATTGCTTCTGAAAATCAATGTAATTATTTTAACCATGTGTGCACAGATCTTTGTATATATTGGGTATACCGTCAAGATATTAAATCTATATTAACAGTATTGATTCAATGTTGCAATATCGTTTTCTTTTTATATGTCAATTTTCTCTATTAAATACAAGATTTTGAATTACATTAATAATTTTCTGTAATATCCTGAGCCCAAAACCCGGATAATTTTTGTGCAGATGGTCAGAGTTGTTTTGCAAACTTTTTCGCAACAGACAGTTTAGCAATTTTGTTAAAGAATTATGTGTAAAGCTACTCCGGTCACCCATACAATACTAAAAATCTTCTACGTTTATTTCGTTAAAAACTTGATAGGCCCTAGCGAAGTTCAATTTTTAAGTTTAATCATTGAATAAAAACATTAAGAAACCTAACGCTTATGGAGTAATGCGTGACATGCCCCCTGCTCGCCGCATTGGTGATTATCACTGTACTGCATGTGTGGCTACGAGCGTCTTGTATACAGGAAAGCTATAACTCGTTCATCTCAGTTCAAGATCGACTGTACCGCTTATATCTCAGTTCAATCATCTGCTACGATTTATTACAAGGCATTACACCTCTTATAGTGTTTTTATTTAATGGTTTAATGGTACTCTTTGGTTTAATACAATTGTAGTAAGGCCATTGAAAGGTAAGGCTAAATTATTGTGGCTAGTTGTACAAAAGATCAAATGTGACTAGTTACTTGAGCAGTTGGAGCACAATAGCATGGTATATTTACTGACAATAGCAAAAAATAAAACAAGTAAAAGATTTCTTTAGGGCTTTTTCCATGCATCGATCAGTACTTCCAAAAGGCCATAGCTATGGGCATTATGTTTTTCTTTACTAGAGGTGTCTGTGGTTAAAATTTCAAAAAAAAATCTCCATAAATAAGAAAGTTGACGTTGCGCAGTTCGCACATTTAATCTATGGTATATGCGATGTTTGTTTTTACAAGAAGCGTCTATGGGTAAAATTTTAAAGCGAGATCTTCATAAGTAAAAGAAGTTGTCATTTTGCACTCTGCGCATTTGATTTTTACTTCATGTGATATGTTGCTTTTTACTAGAAGCATGTTTAAAATTTCAAAGAAACATTCATAAATTAGAATTCAAAATCTCCCACGCGCGCGTTCGGCATCGCAAGTGGCGGCTTGCTTTTAGCATTGGAAATGCTTATTTCCTTTAACTGTCTTTTTAGAATGCATAAACTGTTTATATTGAATTATTTTATTTTTCCCTACTTGTCTACCTATACTTTTTATTTAAAACCGTAAACTTTCTGTAGCAAACTAAAAGCAAGCACCTGCGATGGCGAGCGCGCGCGTGCGAAAATTTTAATTCTATTTATGCTGACTGACGGCGTTATCCCACAAAATCGCTGACTGACCAGTTCCGTCCCTTTATTTAAGTGACTGACTATTATAACTTTCATTAATATACAATATATACCTACTATTTGTATAACAATTTTCAGCCTTGGTAAATTCATTGCATTACTCGGCAGGTACAACATCTTCGGTAGTGTACCGGAGGCGCCTGTTCTCACTTTCACTTGACTTACTGCAGTATATTTATGCACATAACCATTATAATGCACTATGGAATTTATTTTATTTATTTGTTTAACCAGAAACCAATTACATGGCACTGGGGCTCTGAACAAATATTAGGACGATCTAATTTGATTTATTATTCAATTTAGGGGATCGTGAAAAAAGTCGATATGATTAACTGAGGACAATTTATTTAAAGTGATCAAGATCTTAATAAGTGGGGAAGTTGTGTTGTTAACTGCAAAAATAGTATTATTTTGCCTTAGCTTAACAAATGGTACCTTAAGCTTAATTTCTTGAAGTAATTCGGAAGAGTTTAACAAATTGTGTAAAATTTTGACAAAAATTGTGGAGGCAATGTACCGTCGGGTTTCTAACCTCGTTATATTTAAACCGCAAGTACTATTTAAGTAATTAAGCTGGGTACCGTAAGTAGATCAAATGTGGATAATTTTGGGTTGACCTAAAAAACATTACTCGGATGAACTTTTTCGATCATGTCTGAGTATTTGAGAGTTTGAGGAGACCAGATACATGCAGCATACTCAAGCTTGGATCTAATAAACGCATTATATACCTAAGGTTAGCATTGTCTGTATATTCGTGAAATTGAGTGTATTTCTGATAACGAAACCAAGAAGTTTGTAACACTCACTTGTTAGGTTTTCAATGTGTAAGTTGAAGCATAGATTTGGTCTATGGTTGAAATTAAGATTGGTATTGAAAAACACGCCCAGGTCCTTAACGGAGATGATTCTTAGTAAGACTTTTCCATTCATCTTATAATGAAAAAGTAAGAGATTTTTCGATCTAGTAAAAGTAAGGACTTTACACTTATTGATATTTAGTTTATTTTTGATACACCATTCACATTATCGGTCAGAACATGTTCATAAGAAATACACCAAACTGTTGTGTATATTTTGCTGGAATGTTCATTTTAACTTTTAAGGATAGCTTGGTACTATAAACACTTGCATTTAGCGCAATGTAGGTACTTAATCTGTTATCCACACAATTTTTTAAAATGTTGAAACTTGTAGCGTTTGTAAAACCTAATGCAATTTTATGTGACGTACCTTTTCCATGTCAATTGGACAAATAAATATCATTATCCACGAACAGCTGCTCCTCCATTATAGCAATCTGGTCTAAAGTAAATGGGGGAACATTTTCAGTTTTGTGTGTGATTAAATCTGTAATTGCGATTTTGTTCATTTTTTTCAAATAAAAATAAGTTTTAAAATATATTAAAAATCTACCAACATGCCAATTATAAATAAACATTCCACATTACACATTATAAACATTACAAACATGATTAAAATGTACTTGTAAAAAAAATTATAAAGCAATTTGATTTTTTATTACAGTATCACTTGAAGGTACATCTGGAAGTTTTAAATTTTCTAATCTTTTCTCAAGCTCTAAAGTGTCAGCATCAACAATTGGTTTAGAAGGAGAAGAAGGATCATTAGGTGGAGTATTACTTGACACTAATAGAGCCAATTCATCTTCCAGATCATCATCATCATCATTTGATAATGGCCGAGAGAGTGTATTTTGAATGTCTTCGTGCATATCGAGCACTGAACCTAGTTCCGATACTACATCACCTACGGAGTCTTCTGATAAACCGGTATCTTTGAAATTCTTTTGCAATGTAGCTAAAGCCAACCGGTATGATTCGAAAACTTTCGCATCCGTACTACTGTCACGTAGTTTTAACAAAAGGAGTTGAACATTGTGTAAACTGTTGGCCTTTTGTGACAGCCGCTTATCCACTTCGTGTTTTTTCCTCAAACAACTTTTAGCCTGCAATGCATAAATTACAAGATCTGGTTATTGTTAAAATTTTAAGAGTAGGTACCATTTGACGATGGCCTTTAGCCAAGTACACTTTAGCTTCTTCGACAAAGCCCATGACTTCCTTTTCTAGTTTTTCAACCAGTAAGGTTATACTTTTTTCCAACTGTTCTAAAATGTGGATGTTTACATCTACTTCTGTGATAATATCTTCACTTTCCCTATTTTTAAATTTAACTAAAACATTGATAGGGACTGAATGATTATCACTTCCTTTAATCTCATGCAAATCAATTGCCCCAATACACATCAAGTGATGTAAAACTAATTTTACTTGACTTTCTTTAATTGTCTCCAAATTCATAACATCCATCAACTCTTTTAAGGTGAAAACTCGTTTCTTAAAATCATCAGGTATTACGGATTGCAATGTCGTGCCTTCTGATACAATAGCAGGTACGTTAACAAGCAAACCTAAACTTGAAGATCGGACACGTCTCACTTTGTTATAGGACCAAACAAACGGCTTCTTCACAAATGTTTCTGCCATCCAGGAACCCCACGTCTTACATGGTTTTTGCAAAAAGTGTTCTAATTGTTGCAACTCTCCTCTTGCATACATTTCTTCGATAATAACGTTTAAACAAGCCGGTGAACGTCCATTAATATTAAATAGCTTCTGCAGTTCCTCCAATGTAAATGTGTAGATTTTATTGTAAATGCAAGTATCGATGATTAATTTCTTCCAGAAAGCAAATTTAGAATCCCAATCATGAGGATTTACAGCTCGGTTACGGAAAGGTGCAAACAACACATTCATACGAGAATCATTTTCCCAAACATCGGGTAATTTATCTTTTGGTAGTATTGATAAAACTTGACCGTGAGACATTTTAATGATTCTGACAAGTATATACTTCTTAATTTTCTTCCTTCCATATAATTCGGTGCCTTAACCTATGCATGACTGACGTCTCAGAATGACGTCCATAAATTGTCAGTCAGTTGAGACTGTGGTTAAAGTTCCTAGTCACCGATTACAAGTACTATGCGATCAAGAATGAGTTGCTATTGAGTCACCTTTGGAATTTATGTTTACATGGGAAATCGCACTTAACTTGAACGGTAACACCATTGAATTTATAACTATCAGAAGCGCGGGTTAAATGGCAGGATATGTGACTGTTTTCAATAGTTTAAATTACAAGACGTAGATGTCTCTACCATCGAGAAAGATGAATAATAATGTCAATTTTTTACCTTTGTTAATTATTATACAGGAACCTGTAATGAACCCACTATCTCGATTTGTAATTGTTGCATACAGAATTCTAGATACTCAAGAAACGTATTTATAAGGCATTTATGTGGCACACAGGATGTTGAATGACGCAAGATAAACATTCTTCCTTTCATGAATCTTGACCTACTTAACATTCCTTAAGGAAGATTGAATTACACTTGAACAGGAAAGCAAAAAATACGTAGGCATCCTTGATCACTGTAATGTAACAGAAATTAAATGTACCTACCTATCTATTCTTAATTTTTGTGTGTGTCGGTTAAACTACCTAGAACAGGAGTCGGCAACCTATTGAAACGGAAGAGCCAAAAATTACAATTTACAAAATTTCTCAGTTTTTAAAGGGCCACAACATTTTTTTGATTCAATATTATAGTTTTTGGCTATATACAGGGTCCTGTAACAGTGCATCGGTTTTTCCTGCATAGCTGATATCTGGTAAAAAATATTGGTGGCTGCGGATCTACAGAAACTATTTTTGAATGTAGGTACAGGGTGTTCCATTTTTACGATGTCAATTAATAACTGATCTTTTTAAATTGAACATCCTGCATATTTTTACTTGTTTCAATGCCATTTGTTCAAAGTGCTATAACTATTCTTTTTCAAATGGAACTACCACTATTTTATTTCACTATTCGATTGTCTTTTGTGTTTTCTTCAATGTTTATAAGGGGTGCCCAGTGCTTAAACCCCGCAGTTTTTATGTTATTCAATATTTTTCACAAAAGTATACCTACTCATTAATTAATTACGTGTTTATAAGTCGGAGTAGGCTGGCTACGGTACACTACTAACCGGCGATTCCCTAACCGGCAATGACCAAACCGGCGACGACTAGACGGCGCTATACCAAACCGGCGCTCGTTCAACCGGCGCGGCGTTATGCTTTGCCGGCGCTCGTTAGGCCGAATGCTTTCCTATTTATGTGGGTTGGATTAATACAACGCAGAGTATCTACCCAGTGGCGCACCCATAGGGGGGGTTTTCGGGGTTAACCCCCCCCCCCCCGAAATTAAGCACTGATAGATTTTTTAAAATAATCTTTTCCTACAATCGTTTATGAATTAATCATTCAAAGTGATCAATTCGCGCACTATAATTTGCATGTTTAATCCATAGCAACCATGCAACTTGATTGTCACAATAAATTAGCAGTTTCAAATCTTGACGGAAAGTACCGAAACTTATTACCGGATTGCAAGTAACCTAAAGGAAAGATTTTTAAAACACAAACAAATATTGACCTATTTCCCAAAGATCCGACCATTCTCCCCGAGGAAACCAGACTGCCAAATGAAGATCGACCCAGAGATGCCTTAAGTGCTTTACAACTTTACAACACGTTACAGACACAAATATTAGGGTATTACTTGCTATATTAGCTACATTGCCTGTCTCTACTGCGGAAGGCGAACGTAGTTTTTCAACTTTGAGAAGACTCAAAAATTATTTAAGAAATAGTTCTTCCGAAAACCGACTAAAATAGCTTAACTGTTCTAAACATTATAGAAACATGACCCCTTCTGTGGAAAATATTTTAGAGAAATTCGCACAGAAACCTAGAAAATTAAAACTTAGTTTAACCATTGAATTTATAATTATAAATTCAATGGTAACACGTAACAGTTCAGGGTCCATGCGAATTTAAAAGAAAATAGTTTCAGAAATGCTTGGAAATGGCCTAATTCTTCGAAAGGGGATAATTTTTTTTACGCAAATGTGCCGTATTTTCACAATCTCAAAAAAAATTTTTATAGTAGTTCCTTAATTGTACAATAGATGGCGCTGCGTATTCATTATAAAATCAATTATTTTGCTTTATTAAATGTCCGTGCAGGGGCGGACTGGCCCGGGGGGCGGGTGGCGATTGCCACCTGGCCTGTAGATCATAATGGCCCGTTGGAAATTTATAAGTATGTGCTGTATTTAGTTTCTTGCACTATTAATAAATTATTAACACGTTTCTCTAATTGGGGTTGATGTTAGGTTGTTAAAAAATTCTGTTTTAATTGAAGTGTTTTACAATGAATTTATCTTTTTTTGTCGTAGCATGAAAGTGCTGAAATACAATGATAGGCGACGCACCTCGTGTGGATTGTATATTTTGTTACTTTTAATTATCAGCTGCAATTTAAAAAAACTGTATGGTAATTGATTTTTGAGAAAGGAGTACTTTAAAATGTTTTTATGGTGCACCTCAGAGCTAACCCCCCCCCCCCCCCCCACCTTCATTACTACACTAATACTTTAATGGCCCGTAACCTATGCAATTCCACCTGGCCCGTAAATACCCAGTCCGCCCCTGTGTCCGTGTATGAAGACCTGAAAGAAATTCAAATATATTATAGCGTTTAGAAATGTAGCAATTCGTTTCTGCTTCCTTTTCTTAATAGAAAAACAATTCAATGGAAAAACGTAAGCTAAAGATGCGTATACATTATCCGAACCGAACATGTAATGTAATGCTCGTTCATGGCTCGTTCACTTTTGACAGAACGAGCACGAACGCGTTACAAACACGGAGAAGTAGTAAAATACGTCCCAACTGTGCGAGCGAATCCCTTTGTGTTCGTCACAAAAACCGACTTTTGCTGGAGCGGGTGAGCACGTTGCGCATCTGTTTGCTTCGTGCTCGAGGTACCGTCTCAACTACACCAATTTGTTACATTACATGTTACATTACACGTTTGGTTCGGATAATGTATACGCAGCTTAATACCATCACGAGCGATGGGCGATACATTTAGATTCGAATTAACAAAACCCCTGCGCACTGTTAAGTAAGAACCGTATCGACAGTATCCGCGACTTTTCCTGAATCTACCGATTGCAGTCGAGTAACGGGACAATCATCACTTGATGCGACACCAATTGTCTTCTTTTCTGCTCGACTAACCAGCACAGCCTACCTACTATAGTAATGTAAAGATAAACGATGAGCTAAACTTTTTTTAAGAGTAAAACTTTTTGATTTAGGCTTCCGTTTATTAGATAATACGATGTATAAACGCAAAAGTTACTCAAAATTTGTCAAATTTTTAGGGATATCGAATTGAAATAATCGCGTTTGAAATTTAATTCTTCCGTAAGGCCCAATGTAATTGGCAACGTTTGATAATTTCTTATTACCTTCACTGTACAAAGAACATTTTGATTTATATACGAAAAAATTTGAAATTTTTCTTCTTTCCGTTTCGTTGTTTTATGCCCTAATGCATGGACCGCTTTTGGGCGGCTTTGACATTTAGAATCAATATCATGACCTTTCATTTTTTGAGAATTTCAACTTGTGGCACCATCAAAACCCCACGGAAGTCATAATTTGTGCCACGGAGCACTCTACTATACGCCAGTATAGGTACAACTGCGAAAGCTATAAGCCCCTAACGTGCCAACCCGCCATCCTTCTAACTCAAAGATATAACTCACGTGTTCGTACGGAACGATTTAGTTAGACAGCTAGCCACTTCAATTACCCTACAATGGCCCCTTTCCTGCACTAAAGTGTACAGACAAACTGGTAACCATAGACAAACGCAGGGAGAAACAACGAGCAATCGAGTTTTCAACCGAACCGCGGGAGCGTCACATGTAGCTCAAATTTGTAATTATAGGTAGGTACTACAGCCAAGAACAAGATCCATAAATAAGAAAATGACCAATTTAAAAGGTTTTCGCCCTAACTCGCCCAACGAAACATCTTCATAAATAAGAAAGTTGGCACTGCGCATAGACTGTGCATGGGCACATCTAATGTTTACAATATGAGATATGTTTGCCTTTAACAGAAATATCTGTTAATTCAAAAAGATATCTGGATAAATAAGACAGTTGATGTTGCGCATTCTGATGCGCATGTGCACATTAATCTGATATTTACAATATGCGATATGTTTGCATTTACTAAATCCATCTTTGGTTAAAATTTCAAAGAAATATTTTCATAAATAAGAAAGTTGGCATTGCACAGTCTGCGCAATTTTTAATCTTTGTTAAGGGTTTTTAGGAAAAGGCAATTAATTAGTCGTCTTAGTTCGCTTGTGAAGATATAATTAATTTTATAATATAGGTAATTAAAATAATAAATAAATAAAAATAATATAATTTAATAAATCACGTATTAAATTTACGTTACAATCGTAAGTATTAAATGATCGTTCAATATTTTTAAAATTAAATATGTCCCTACCTGCCCAGTGTTTGGATTTACCTTTCCATAACAAAATACGCTCTTGCTAAACGGCCTGTGCTGTCGTGCATCAACGGAATTAATTGATTTTTAGGAAAGGTCAGTTAGGAACCAGGATTACTTAATCTCAATTGGGTTTGGCAAGTAGGTACCTAATTTTGAATGTATTGTGACACTACTATGCTGGCTATACCGATTATTGTTGATCCTATATCTTTCTATGGAAACTATAGACATATAGCCTTTGTTTACCCACCAATAAACGGAGCTAAATACGTACTTATTAGTTATTATACTTTGTCGCAAATGATTAAAGAGCTGCTTTTCTTGAAGCATAACTGATTTGTTTTACCAGAGCAGGTAGGTAAATTACAAGGATCAATGCTTATGGGGTAGGTTACCTTTTAAACTTTTCTGTAGAGTATGGTACCGTACCCGAATGGTTAGGCAAACATACTCGTTTTTGAAGCGCGTAGCTGATGAAATTTGCTAACATCTCGCATATTTTTACATAGCTAATCTCTTCATTTACTTAATTTATTTTATTGATCTGCGCTTTAAATTTTTACAATTTAAAACGTAACAATTATAACTTCTGATGAAGATGGTATGAATTAAATTACCAAACACTAAGGTAACAATAAAAGGTAACTCAGGTTTGAGTTTTTTGCATATTTGACGTAGCTAGTGGTGAATCAAAGTGTGGTTATTTTGCAACTGCTGAGCGCAGACCGGCACAAGAATTTAGAAGAAGTATGACATCATTCCTAGAAAAAGCGGAAGAAGTAGATTTTATTATAAAAACGGCGAGTAAGTGAATGTATTTTAATTCAAATAAAAAATGTCTTACGACTTTTATCTTATTATTATCCTTTTAACTCCATTCGTTCATTCAAATCAATACGTACACCATGCTTGCTTACACCGGCTGTTTGTTGTACTTTGGTTGCGTTGTGACGCTCCCTGCTCCCTGCATCTGTCATATAAAGGTTATGTCTAAAGATGGTTAATTTTTTAGTTAATTAGTTGAAGAGATATGTCTTCTGGTAAGATTATTTCGGCATTTTTAATCTATTTCCATTAATTACTGATTCATAACAATTAATTAATTCGTTAAGTTTAACTACTCATTTTGTTCATTTTTAGTTGAGAGAGACCCAAAGAAGAGGAGAGTTAAACCCATCGACACCCAGGCTTCTATTTTAGACTTTGATTTAGAAGAAAGTTCAGATGATTCCGATTTTCGTATTGAAGATCACCCTCATAATTCGGACGATGACGATTCACTGTCATTAGATAGTAATGCTCCAGGTAAATATTCCGCTCTGATTAGGTACGTTATTTTTCACCTGATCGTGTGTAGAGCATCTCAGTGCGGATGATGACGAGGAAGATTCGGAAGAGGATTCGGATGACTTGGATGATCTAAAGGAATTTGAGGTAGTCAACGATGGGCTCTCTGTAGCTGATGTTATTAAACAAGCAAAGAAGAATTCGGAAACAAAACATAAGGTAAAAGTCAATGGGTAGTACTAGTATATGTCACACTTGATCTTCAATGGATTTTACCATCAATGTCAAAACAAGTGAATATTTTCAGCTTTCGTTTTTTCACTACTAGCCTACGATGACATGATTATTAACCTTTTTCACTTGTAAAGTTAGATTTCTTTGTACCTAGGTTTTTACAGTGGTTAATAATGATGTCATTATTAACTAGTAGTCAATAATGGCAGAACAAAATACTGGGTATTGGACTTATTTCCACGCACTTGATTGACATGTAAAATTAATAAACAAAAAATTCTGTGAAACTTTGTTAACAATATAATTTAGAGATTTCAAGTACTAGTAGTGAAAAAAGTAATAGGTAGAGAAGCAGGGATTTAATCTGGGTGCTCAGGCAATAATACTACACTTCTCTATCTTGGTATATAGGTAATATACTATTTGCAGTGCCGTTCCGTAGAACGTCCCGGCCTGGTCATGCAATCATAATACCCGGCCCAAAAATACGCCGTCACGGCCACCGACCCGGGCCCGTAGACCGTAGAAAGAAAACTGAGGTTGAGTTAGCATTAATTAGCGTTTAGAAAGCAGGTAGAGTGGGTAAAGCTAAAGATAGGATGGCTTGCAGCCTTGCACTTGCGTTGTGCAGTGAGAACAATGGTAGATTTGTCGATGACTCCAAAAAACATTTTACCTCAGTCAGACTGAATAAACAGACTATAAAGTGCCTCGTTTATTATTTTTTCGTATGTGTTTCCCGGCCCTGCATTGTCCCGGCCCGGTCAACCACTGTCCTTTCATGACCTCGACGGGACGGTACTGACTATTTGATTAGTATTTCTGACATGAGAAATGTCATAATGGACAAGGCATTTGTTATTACAGACAACTTATCAATTAAATAAAACCAGGTGTCAAATTCTTAGAACAGTTTCCTAGCTGAAACCAAATATTTAAAAAAAAAGTTTTTGATAGTCTTACATCTTTCATGCTAAAATTTTAATGAAATCAAAATAACCGTTTTGCTGAAAAAAATATTTTTTTTTCTCTTGTTTTTTTGTAATAAGATACCATTTTTGTAGGTTGTAGGTACATAGAAAAAGAAAGTCTTTTCGTCTTTCTTTGCGTTAAAAAAAATCGTATGACGTCACGGCGCTAAAAACTCGGATATAAAGAAACGTTTTTGACAGACCTAGATCCTTGATACTTAATGTAAATTCCCAAAATTTTAACGAAATCATTGTAACCGTTTTGGTGACAAAAAATATTTTAGTTATTTAACTTTGACATTTTTTTTCAGTTTTTTTGTAATAAAACCTGGCACAATTTTTGTAAGTTGTGCACAGAAAAATTAGGTCTTTCGAATATCTTAATAAAATTTTATTGATGAAATGATCTATTATATTAGTTTTCTGTTTATGAATTGTTGTTGGATGAAATAAAACTAATAGATTTTTACTGTTCTGATGAACTTTGAGCTTATTTCACAGTTTGCTATGATTTATTGTGTCACACGCTTTCTGAAAGTCTACAAAGTTGATCTAAATTATCTAAAACGTCGACATTTGATAAAATTTTGGCATGTCAAAAAACCCTGATCCCAATAGCCCCTTGGCTCGAGCTAGGAAGCTAAAAATGGATGTAGTAACTTTCAGTCTGCCAGCTGAGCAAAATATTATTAAAAGGTATTTTAGGACTTTATGTAATTCATAAGATAATTTGCAAAAAGGCAAGGTTCTCAAAATGTACTGTAGTTTGGTATGTGAATACAATAGCTATGTTATTAGCTTCCTAGCTGAACTAGGGGACTATTGCTATCACTGTTTTTTGGACATGTTAAAATTTCATCAAATGTCGACGTTTTAGATCATTTTAAGCAACTTTTAAAGAATAATAAGTTATTCGAAAGACCTTATTTTTCTGTGTACAACCTACAAAAATTGTGAATCGGAGATATCCATGGTGTGATAAAGTTCAAAATGGGGTTGGGTATATTAGAGTCGTTGAATCCCAAAATGGGGTTGTGTCTTTTTGGGATTCAACGACTAATATAAAAATTGTGCCAGGTTTTATTACAAAAGAAGTGAGAAAAAAATGTCTAAGTTAAAAAACTAAAATATTTTTTTTCGCCAAGACTAAATGAATTCTAATTAGGAATTACAAGTATTAATGATATGTTGGCTTTTGACATGAAATAAAATCTAAAATCAATAGACAAACATGAGCAAAATTAAAAAAAGAGATACAACGGTACGCAGTCACCCATCCGAGTACTAATCGCGCCCTACGTTGCTTAACTTCAGTGATCGAACAAGAACTGGTACTTTCAACGTGCTATGGCTGTTGTCGAAAAAGTTACTCTTCTAAAGGAAACAATGTAGAATCTTTTTTTACAAAAAGGGCTCGACTTGTTCAAATTTTGCATATTGTTGTGTTATTTTGTTTTAGTTGTAACTTGAAAGAAATTATAGAGCGTCTGGATGTGACAATTTTGTTTAGTTCAATTAATTAACCGGGGGGGTTATTAATAATTTGAGACACAGGATTGCGTAAATTTCATGTTATAGTTTTGGTTCAATTTCTTAGAAGTGTTCTGTTTTTATTTTATTCCTAGAATTTTTTTCGATGTAAATTTCTTTTTAAATTTTATTTGCCGTTAACGAGGTATAGCGCGAAGTAGAGATAAGGTTCTTCGCAGAATTGCCGGGCGTACGTGCCGTTTAGCAAGAAGTTGAAAAATCGACGCTTCGCGTGATTGGCGGACGGGATGTTGAAGAAAGGAGAAGGGCTTTTGGCTTAAATAGAAAATTTTGGAAGAGAGCGGGGCTTTTTGGTCGTTACAAAGCCAACCGGCGCTTCTTCGGTTACGTTATTTTTGAATTTTGTGGAAGTTTTCCTGCGTAGTTGGATCCAGGTTTAATTAGAATTTTGTGTCTGCCGTTTTAAGAAGAATTATTGAGAAGTTTAAGAAGTTTGTCGTCGTCCTGTTTTTTTTTTTTATTTTGCGGAAACACGGAAGTTTTGAATTTGTGGGTACCCGAAGAGAGAAGACGTCGGTGTTTGAGTGGTTGGTTTACGTGATTGTGTACGGATACCTCTTTTTATCGGAATACGTTATTCGGACTAATTTTAAAAGTAAGTAGTAGTTAGTGTTTTGTTTTGTCATGTTTTTTTTTTGTAATGTTTGAGTAATTTGTTTTTTTTTGTGTGTGTCATTTATCTGTTTAAAATTGTAACATTTTGTAAAACAGAAATTTACGCAATTTTTTGTTTGAAATTAAACCAGTCATTGCAATCCAGGTTTTGTTTATTAGAGTCAAGGAGAGGTAATTGTCGGCGTCTCTTACTTTGTTTCAAGTTTATTAAATCTGGGGGTAAAGTTTCATATTGGAATTTAAGGATTTGGTTAAGCCACCTATTTATGTCATTGTTGGAATGCTATAGGGTGGCAGAATCCAGCTGGACCTTGAGATGCGGATAAAAATTTTGTTTTCATTTTATTTACAACTGAGCTAGCTAGAGGTAGGTCGTGGGATTCCCAGAAGTGAAGGTTAGGTCTCACAACAATATCTAAAAATCTTTGGATATGTATAATATTAGGCTTATCGAAACGAAAAATAATGGGCCGGATTTATTCAAATAGTAACCCACTTATTAACGGGCTAAGTTTTGGAGTGGTTACCCATTCAAATACGAGTATTAGCTGGGAGCAACGTTGCTTGACTGTATATATAGACAATAAATGGATCATTAGTAATAAACACAAACAAAAGTTAAAAAAAAGCGCTAGAAGTCGTTAGACAACAACATGGAGTATTTAGGAAAGAATGTATCATCAAAAATTACCTATTACCGTGACCTAATTAGAATTATTAATTTAAGGGGTAAACTTTGTTTGTTTGAAAGTATAACAATAGAATTCCGAATAAACAAAAATAAATACGGTTTACGGTGGTAACGGTTATATACAATAGTTTTGAAGTTTTAAATATGTTAAAATATCTTCTTTTTTGTCTTTGGCAGTGTATGCTCGTAGTTTCTTGTGTTTTTACGAATTAACAGCACCATTTCTTATTAAAAAGTAGTGATATTTACATTTTTTAAATCAGAAAAAAATGTTCTATCAAATGATATAAGAAAAAAAAACAAAGTTGATGATGGTTAATCGGAGACGAAACGTCAGATTAAAATTTATAACTAGCATCTTGTAGAGGGAAAAAAGTGGCCACAATAATGTGTCATTTATTTTGAAATATCTTTTTAAATAACTAAAAAATAAAATCGATTTTGTACAATTTTGTTTTTTTCAGAATATCTTTGAAAGTTGTCGGAATTTTTTTAAGTTTCAAACGTCATTTTGTTAAGGATCAAAATACGCAACTTGGCCAAATTTAAACTACCTACCTATCTCTTACAGTTTCCGAGATATCCCCTTGGTGGCCCTCGAATTTTAATCGGCCTGTATAAAGATTAACCTAAGACATGACGTTGTGAAAGAAAAAACTATCTAAAATTTGAATAAGAAACAGTTTCCTCGAATTCAAATTTTTTTAATTACAACTATTTAAATTTCCGTTTGACGTTTGCAATCTTTAAATGATTTTAATACGTAAACGGTTTACTCTGCGTTTTCAGTTAAATGCGCACGACCGTGATTTTCGTAAGAAAACTATAAGGTGCCGTGTTTCGCGACGCAATATGCGATTTACAATGCTACATCCGTAATAAAATATTGGCTCCCGTAGTCATCTTAAAGTTCGTATTTAGGTTTTTTTGTAGCGAAAAATGGCAAACGATTTTTCAAAAAGAAGGTAATGCAGAAGCAACCCGCGTTCAGCTAAAGCAATACGTGTTGAACGGCAAATTCAAATATACTTTTCACACCACCAACAGGTAAGTCTCGTCCAGATCTTCCACTCAAAATAAAATAGTAGATTATTAAACTTGGCATAGAAACTCCACCTTGCTCACTGCGATTGGTGGTGCCAAATAAGATCCAACCTGCCTATAACTTGACGCAATGTATTGCAGAGAGGGACCAATCCAATTACAATCTTATCTTGTTTCAGTTCGATGTTGGTGATGCACAATTATTAATTTGTTGCGGTTGTCTGGGTGATCAGAGCGATGGAGTGAATGAATTAATCGAATGTGATGGATGCGGTATTACAGTACACGAAGCATGCTACGGTGTATCCGACAGTGGAAGTATTGCAAGCACAGATTCACTATCGCCCACAGCGCCATGGTTCTGTGAAGCATGCAAAGCTGGGGTTTTGAATCCGGTTTGCGAATTATGTCCAAACTCTGGTGGTATTTTTAAGGAAACCGATGTAGGGAAGTGGGTTCATTTAGTGTGCGCTTTGTATGTTCCTGGTGTCGCTTTTGGAGAGGTGGACCGACTTTCAAGTGTGACTTTATTCGAAATGCCATACAATAAATGGGGTGCCAAAGTATGTTCTCTTTGTCAAGATGAACGTTTTGCCAGGACTGGTGTGTGCATTGGGTGCGATGCGGGAATGTGCAGAACATATTTCCATGTTACATGGTAATTGAGGTATATCTATGTGGAAAGTTTTAATCTATCACATTTCAGTGCTCAACGCGAAGGTTTCCTTTCAGAGGCACATTCTGAAGAAGTTGATCAAGCAGACCCTTTCTACGCACATTGCAAGATGCATTCTGATAAAACCTTGGTCAAAAAGAGAAAACGTAATTATTTAGCATTACAGCTGCGCGCGCACAACAGACGTAAACATTTAGAAGACAGCGAGAACACGCCTTCATCCGAACAGCAACGTATTCACAGAAAGTTGGAGAAGCAGAAACTGCATTATCTTTCTTTAAAAAGCCAGAAACAACCACCTTGGGGTAATCTAGTAATTGTATTTTCATTGACTTTATTCTTATAATTGTGCAGTTCCAACACAAAAAATGCCAAGACTTTTAACCACCTCGGCTTCTGCATGTAGGAAATTATTACGCAAAGCAGAGTTAATGGGTATAGATACAGCTGCGTTAGAAATACAAGAAGCACAAATGGCCGCTTTAGTGGATATAAGAAAAAAATGGCATATACCTCCCGCATTTAGTGTTGAATTTATTGCTTATTATTTAGACCGCAATGATCGCTTGAAAGTAATGAAAACTGCTTTGGAGCAACTTCTAGAAGATAACAATGATTTAATAGAACAACAACAGACATACAGAATGAAGTATGACGAGGTTAGTACATCTCCGCACACCACTAAGCATGTAGTTCTTCAAAAGTTTAGTAAAATCACAATTTTAGTACAATTCACATAATTAAACTCAAAACTCGATTTGAAAATGAATTAAAGTCATCAACAAGAAGGAAACATTCCAAAAGGGTGATTTAGTTTTGGAAATGTTAATAAATTTGTGTTTTTATTATTGCAGCCTGTCAAGAAAGATATTTATATTTAATTGGAGACTATATAGTCGGAATCTTTAATTTAATTAATGTTCTGTCTGAAGTTTTATTAGAAAATGACTTTAAAAGTACAGTGGCAACAATAGCTTAGGTTTGTCTTGTGCCATTTTACATGAAAACGGTAAGTGATTAAATTTCTCTAAACATGTTAGGCATTGATGATTTGGGGGCGTGAGTGTAAGATTTCGGATTCTTCATCTAGTCTTCATCTGAAGGATACACAGGGTGTAATTTAAAGAAAAGACGCAAGCTGTAGCGCCTACAGTTTTTGTCCAAATTCAATTCAACAAAAACCATATTTAATGACTGCAAAAATACTAGGTACAAAACGGCCACAATTAAAGTGTTTTAAATTATTATTTTCGAGGGCTACTAATGGTTGACTTAAATCGCATAGTAGGTCTTTAAAATTAAATTTGATGGCATTTGTTCCCCTAAATTCAATGATTAATATCAAAGTTACTCTTGATTGGAATTTTTCACACAAAAAATTAAAGAAGCTAATCTTTCTAAATTTTGTAGCATGCCTTGGAAACAATTCTCTTTACGCATCAAGTGAAACAGTAATTGTGAGCAAATAGTACGACTATTACTACAAAAATGCTATAAATAACTAAAGTCACTAAATATAGAAAGTACAGCAATCATCCGTCATTTTTGGCCAAATTTGCTGCCAACTTAAAAAAATTGACAAATAAAATCTGAATCGCTGTAATTTTTTATAACCTAACTTCATAGTACTGTCATGTTTTATAAAAATATATACAGATATCTCCAAACAGGTGGAACAATCCCTAACATTGAAGTTACTAGAATTTGGTAACTTCCGCCATTTTTGGGCAAAAATCATGCGTTCTCTCTCTAACACACGAGCCCAATGGATTGCGGTACTTTCTATATTTAGAGCCGGTATTTCCATCTCGGGATAAAGTCAAGTATAAGATATCTTCCAGGTAAACCGACAGTTAGCGTCGCTTCGGGTATTTCGAACCTCGTTTAAATATTATCGGCAGGATAAGTTCTAGATAAAGTTATTGGGTAGATTTTCTGCAGTTATCAACATAACCCCAGGATATTGCGTCAAATTTCCAGCAAACTGGTGACGTTTTAAAAATTTGCGAAATTACCAACCGTACCTATACTAAATAGGAAGAAAGAATTTGAAGTATGGAAGTAGAAGTACGCAAATACATACTATGTTTTCTTGAAGGATATAGGTAACCTATTTTAGATTCCAAATGGATGAAGATTTTCTTGACACAAGCATACGATTTTCAGATGTGCTGAAATTAGCAGTTCTTTTCTTTCTACGCAGTGCATTTACATCACGATTTTGGTTCATGTTCAGAGTACTCATAAGTAAAGCTTATTCTGTAATTTACATTTGACAGGTATATTACAAGTCACTGAATTTCTTTCCAAAACAAAAGCATTCGTTCAAATTGTCAGGTAGTAAGCTATCTTGCTCTAATATATGGCCCTGCCGTTCGCTATCTTTTTCTATTATAGACTTCTAAAATCGGCAACATTGGCTATGGTCAGGTAGCTATCTACGGGATATATTTATACCGCACGCTAATGGAAATACTCGCAGATAGATAAACGGAAGATATCGGGCGGTATAAGTTATTTTGCAGGTACGAATCTAGTACTTTATCCGGCCCTTAGTGACTTTTATAAATAACCACAATTATATGCCACCTGGCGGTGACGCATTTAATTTAAAACATGGTCGCGTCAACACTTTTTTTGGATCGGTTCTGGAAGCCTCGGGCAATCAGACAGACAAAACGGAAAACTCCCGGGAACGGGCGGAACGTTCATTGGCGAATATTCTAAAATAGAATTCGGGCACACGGAAACGGAAGCGATTTTCCAAAGCGGAAACGGAAGCACAAATTAACTAATGGCATCCAGTGGCTACGGGAAAACAAACCTGCAAAAATTTCAACCAAAATGACATGAAGCCAAAACGGAATAAGCTTCCCCTAAATTGTGTTGTTACCTTATATATAATTCCCAAAAAATTTGGAAATAGAACTCAGATCTTCCTGCCGGGGAGCGTACTTGGGTGATAACGTCAACAAAAATTAAATACAAACAAAAACATTAAATAGCACACTCATCTGAAGTTTGTGGCAACACAATTAACTTCGGTTAATTATACTGAACTACAATGACCGGGCTGACATTCCGAAATTATGTAGTTCAATTAACACTGATCGCGTCCCGGAATCCCGAGATCAAATGACAGGTTCATCTATGTGTAAGTGAGCGGCCCTGCCAGTTTCTATCCTAATATTAAATTAAATGAACATAGGGATACTGTTTATGGAAATTGTAAATCATGAAATATAATAAATTCATATAAATTTCTTCCATGGGAATCATAGTTGGAAGCGTCTCCATCACACTGGTCGCGTTGCAACGTTATGGCAATACTTATCTTTTGTCATAAGTAGTAGCTCAAGGTCCCCAGTAATATTGATTATTCGTTTACGTAGGCATTCCACAAAATTGGGCCTTCCCCACACCAAGGTCCAAATGTCTCTACTGCAAAAGGTATAAAAATATTCATTTTTCCCCTGCTTCCTCATGCCGAGGCCTGTTGGATGCTAAAAAAAATAAATACATATCTCTACGGGAACAATTAGAAACTTAACAAGTAATTCGCCAGCTGGTTTCCTTATCAGCAGCAGCTCTACAAATTAAAAAATTACTTTTACCTTCTGTTTCTCACTCCTAGAAGAAATAAATAAATCTGGAAGCTATGATTTCTTAGTAACAAAGCGTCCAATTACGCGTCCATATATACTGGGTGTTCATGTACCGGGTGGTCATCAAAACTGGTAGATTTCATATGCAAAACTGATGCTTTGTTACATATTAGCCTCTGGTCGCTCAGTGATGACCGTCAACAGGCAACTCCAAGAAGCATGTATGACTATGAAGGGTTACTTACCTGAATAATTTCTAAAAACTGCAACAGCTGCAGAAAAGGATTCTGTAGACAATCCTAAATCTGAATCGAAAATGGACACATGTTTGGTGATTCATTTTTCTTTAAGGGACGATCCTGCCAAGTTGAGGCTTCAACCTGGATATGATCACAGAATGGTATCGCTGGTTGGTAACATAGATAGAAGACTTGGGAAACCCAGTACCTTTGATCATGATGTGTCGAAAGCTATTGAAAAGTCCGGTAAAATTAGTTATGCACACAACATGTAGAAGAAACGTAACCGTCAGGTACAGTTCCGCCAACTGACGGAAAACGAGACCGAATTACCATTTTTATTGTCAGATTAGTAGCTTGTAAAGAGTTACATTGCTTAGTGGGTTGCAATTTTCTATACAACCACATTTAAAGATTTTTATATATCTTTACACAATATTAATTTTATAGTTGATGAAAGAAAGCGCAGAAGAATTACATTCCACGTCAATGTTAAAGGACAAAATACACAAACTGCATTCTGCAATTTTAAGTGCTTGTCCGACGAAAAATTTGCCTAACATTGACGAATTAGGTAAACCGGCAAGCCGAGTAATCCAACCAATGATGGTACCAACAGCTGCTGCTTTGAAAATGGGAGTTGGCTTTCCCTTAAGTAGTAATATTTCATCGGGTAGAAATGACACCAGTCGAATTCTTAGCAGCCAAGCACGACAAACACAAGGTTTCTCCTCATTTGATTAGATGCACTCTAACTACCAACCTTCTTTTACATTTATTAATTTTTGTGTTTTTAGATAACCTCCTTTTAAATGAGTGTGGAATTTGCCGACAACATCGAGATCAACATTTATTGGCCAAGTGTGATACTTGTCACTTGTATTATCACTTAAACTGTTTAAACCCTCCCCTTACTCGGCTGCCAAAAAAGTCAAAACTCTATGGCTGGCAATGTTCAGAATGTGATAAGACCACAGATTCGGAGGTGGAGCAAGTGAAGACGCCCCGCAGAAGCCGCAGTCGTTATAGTAGAGAGTCAAGATCTGACAAAGAGATGTTTACTCCTAAGGTTATTATTAAACCGGTTGAACGGGACCCCCTACATCCAGAAGTAACATCTAATGTTACAATACACGTAAAGAACTACAACCTGCCAACTGAAACAAATGCGTATAAATTTGAAGAATCCTTTAAAATCAATGAAACAGATAATAGAAATGGTTATGGACTGAATAGCAGTGTCGAAGATCCATCACTACAGATACTGTCTCGCTCCAGTAAAAAACGTAGAAGAGAGAAACATCGTTCTCGTTATTCTCCAGACGCTTTACGTCCTTCTAAAGAACATAAAAGAAAAAGGAAGAAGAAAAGTTTGGATATTGAGAATCCAAATCCACATCCTCGTATCACTATAAAGGTGCCTTAATATCAGTCTTTGTTTAATTAGCCTGTAAATTGTATTCTTTTTAGATTCGCCCAATTCCTTTACCTGCTGGAGAAAAGACGTCATCTTCAAATCCACAATGCTTTTATGTTCCCAATGAAAACGATGACAATGCTCCGCCCTACCCCAGTATTAAAAAAACGATTAGCACTCCCTATATTCCAATTACACCCGTTTCCACCACACCCGTGAAGAAAAGCGGTAATTCTTCTATGTGTGATGTCTGTAATTCAGAGGGAAATCAATCAAATTTAGTTAGGTAAGGTCGGATGGCAAAGTAAACACTCCAAGTATAATATTTTATTTTAGCTGTGATGATTGTTATAAACGCTACCACTTCACTTGCCTAGAGCCCCCATTAAAAAAATCCCCCAAGAAAAGAGGCTACTCGTGGCATTGTGCAGATTGTGATCCAACGGTAAGTTGTAAGTATGGTGGATTCATGTAACTAATTCGGTTTTTAGGCGTCAGAATCTAATTGAAGACATCAGTAGCTGTTTTATATGTTTAATAATGGATTTGGCTTGGCCATGTGAATTAAATAATAAATTCATTTACTACTAGGATTTTTTTCAAAAAGCTAGTTTATCAATCCTAAAAATTGTTGTAAAAAGGGTAAAGGGTGATGCGGAATACTCATGCCAGTAACTTATAGAGTGGTATCTCACATGCGAGATGTTGTGTCTAACATGGCATGTATATAACTGGCATGCAAATAGATTACACAGCATTTAATTTTTATGCGAGTGGTGTCCATGTATCCATGGAGAGTTTTACATGCAAGCAAAGAGTACCCATAGTAAGAGAAACAGTGCAATGGCACAAACGCGTGTTGGCTATAAGAACTCTACCGCTAGGCCCTCGTGTAGAGGTCGGCAGAACTAACCGGCTCTAAATATTGCCGTGTATCGAACATTTACAGAATTCTTTATAGAATCTCGGTTTAAATTTTTAAAATATTTGCGCGGTTGTCACATTTAATTTTCTTTCTTATTGGCTGTATAAATTGTGGACATGATATAATTAGAAAACATTACTTAACTAGGTATGAAAGAAATCAGTAATGATTCAGTACCTATTGTTCATTAGACTGGTATTTTCCTGTTTAGTTGGCATCTATTAAATGGACGGTAATTACGATTTAACTGAATAACTATTAACTAATAACAGGTACAATTATAAACATGTAAATTGAATTTGTTATTATGCATCCTTGTTAGATTATCTCCTACAATCAAGTTAAAATAGACAACATATTTTACAAAATGCCCTAGCAAATTTGATTTTATGATGAGCATATCGATTATTTTACAGGAAATTTTGTTTGCTTTAATTTTGTATAGTAGCTTACATACGCTGCATGTTTCTTAAATGTTAACATACTAATACAATGCAATAATCCTTATAATAATAATAATACTTTTATTTCCATAGGACATATAGATAATGTTCACTGAAAAAAAACATCAGTCTAAATCCAGGGGTCGGCAACCTGCGGCTCTTTTGATAAAGTTGCGGCTCAGCGTATTTATCTAAAGAAAATAGTTCATTTGTTTGAAATTCGCCTTTTTAATTAATCATATTTGTTTACGAAATCAAAAGTACACTTGCAGCAAATAATTATCTAATTTGTGACACTCGTTTACTTTCTGCTATTCTTTTGTTTTTTTATTATAGCAGTCTACTCCGATGTATAAACACGTAATTAATTGTGAAAAATATTGAATAACAAAAACTTTTAACTACTTCTAAAAACTTATAAACATTGAAGAGAACACAAAAGACAATCAAATAGCGAAATAAAATAGTGGTAGTTCCATTTGAAATAGTTATAGCACTTTGATCAATGGCATTGAAACAAGTAAAAATATGCAGGATGTTTTATTTAAAAAGATCAGTTATTTATTGACATCGTCAAATTGGGACACCCTGTATATTCAAAAATAATATCTGTAGATCAGCAACCACCAATATTTTTACCAGGTATCAGCTATGTAGGAAAAACCGACGCACTGTTGCAGGACCCTACAGGGTCATTCTTGACGAGCGTCAGTTAGAAAGATATGGAAAACCTTTGAAAATGAAGATAAACTGATAAGTTCTTTATGGGTTTTGGCACATGATGAATTGAACTAAAATATTTTCAAGATGGCGCCACTTCCGGAAATAGCCATCAACTTTGTTATTTTAAATAGGGACCCCCCTATTTTTTCTACATTTTCGGTTTCTATGTCGAATTTGGAGTACAACGATACCTCATAGTTGACCCTTTAGTCCAAGGGCTTCGCCGATATTTAAGTGTTTATGTCAAAAATTGAATTTGCAGGGGTAATATTAAAAATTTATTATTCGAAAACCGCGGTGAGAGATATTGCAACACAGTTTTCACTGATTTATTAAAGAAAGATCGACTTTTCTTATGGTATGCGTAATAGTCTAAAAAAGTGAGACTACAACACTTTTTCAAAGCTCTCAACTTTTAAACTTTTAAATATCCGTAACTCCATTTTTTCAAATGGCACCCCCCATTTTGTTCTTCACCGTTGTTTTTCTTTTTCCCAGACCTTTAATTTAATACAAAATGTCAAAAGCTGCTTTAAACGGTTTCCGAGATATTCCATGTTATAGTTACTTCTTGTGGCAAATTGATAAAAAAATTAAGTCGCTTGATGTTATTCTTTTGTTTTTATTATGATAACGTCTAAACGTCAAATTTTCGCTTCTTGAACAGTTTTTAACTTTTATTTCTCGTCAATAATGGCTCGTTTGGGTTACACTATTGAAGATTTTTTGAATTTAATATAAATACACGGTAAATGGAATCTAATAGGTGCCAGGACTTGCCGTCTTTTTTCCGAAAGATACCCTCACAAGGCACAACCCACAGAGGCCACAATTCGCAAATTACTACAAAATTTCAGGAATAACGGTATCTTTCAAACAAAAATACAAAAAAGGAAGCCTGTGGTAGACTCTGAAGAACAAGAAATAACTGTACTGGCGTATTTTGCTGCAAATCCAACTGTATCGCTTAATGATATCCAAAGAGAATTTGACATATCTTCATTAGTGTAACCCAAACGAGCCATTATTGACGAGAAGTATAAGTTCAAGCAGCGAAACATAATAAAAACAAAAGAATAACATCAAGCGACTTAATTTTTTTATCAATTTGCCACAAGAAGTAACTATAACATGGAATATCTCGGAAACCGTTTAAAGCAGCTTTTGACATTTTGTATTAAATTAAAGGTCTGGGAAAAAGGAAAACAACGGTGAAGAACAAAATAGGGGGTGCCATTCGAAAAAATGGAGTTACGGATTTTTAAAAGTTTAAACGTTGAGAGCTTTGAAAAAGTGTTGTAGTCTCACTTTTTTAGACTGTTACGCACACCATAAGAAAATTCGACCTTTCTTTAATAAATCAGTGAAAACTGTGTTGCAATATCTCTCGCCGTTTTCGAATAATAAATTTTTAAAATTACCCCTGCAAATTCAATTTTTGACATAAACACTTGAATATCGGCGAAGCCCTTGGAGTAAAGGGTCAACTATGGGGTATCGTTGTACAAAAAATTCGCCGTAGAAACTGAAAATGTAGAAAAAATAGGGGGGTCCCTATTTAAAATAACAAAGTTGATGGCTACTTCCGGTATTTCCGGAAGTGGCGCCAAATATTTTAGTTCAATTCATCATGTGCCAAAACCCTTAAAGAACTTATCAGTTTATCTTCATTTTCAAAGGTTTTCCATATCTTTCTAACTGACGCTCGTCAAGAATGACCCTGTATAGCCAAATACATAAATGAATCAAAAATTTTTGTGGCCTTTAAAAACCGGGAAAGTGTAAATTGTAATTTTTGGCCCTTCCGTTTCAATAGGTTGCCGACCTCTGGTCTAATCCAATAATCAGTCAAAATACAGGGTGTTACATGACTGCATGTAAAAAAAAATTAGTGATAGAGGGGACCAAGACAAGCACTTTTTCCAAATAAACCGAGGGTCCAATGTGTTTTGTTTGGGAGCCACCCCCAAAGAAGTGGTGAAATTTAGATTTCTTCTTTATTTTTTTCTCAGCAACCATAAGAGTTACAAAGGTGAGCACATCTTTGAATAGGTTTTTGGGTATGCTTATCTGATTTTGAAATTTTTTTTTCCAAATTTCTACCCCGAAAGGGCGCACCCCTATTTGGGGGTGCGAAAAAATTCTGATTTCGACGAAATTTGGTATCTAGAGGTTTTTGAACATGAAAATGACGAATCTATAATTAGTTTTTGAAAATTCGAAAAATAAACCACTGCAATTCTAGGCCGGACAACGAAAATGGGGAAAATTCCTCGAAATTTGTTGTGTTCATACTTGATCAGTCAAGGAACAAATTACCAAACAGTTTTTTAAAATAACTTATGAAACAAAAGTTATACTCTTGTGAAAATTGGGCCTTCGGGTTACAAAGTGTCCCCCGCCTACTAGTGAGAGATCTAATTTCGCATAGAGTTAATTGAAAATGTCGCAAATAACAAAGAAATAACGATTTAAGTCGATATTATGATTAAATGATCACAAAAAATTCGATATGTCGATCATGGTATTCAAGTCCGCAAATTCGATTCCAAAAATTCCGTGGCTAAGGGTGGTGGGGAAAATGCTTTTTAAGTAGAGTTCCATCACAGTCAATTAGCATTATTGCAAGTATCGACTTAATTTATTTAATTTTAATAATTTATTTTCCTTATTAATATCTTGAAGTGTTTTTTTTAAATGAATTACTAAACTACTCGCATGTACTTTTTATTTTGTAATTTTTTGGAATATTGTCCTGTTATTCAGTATATTTACTTGTTTGGATAATAAAATATTATTATTATTATTAAATCGTTATTTGTTTGTTATTTTAGTTAGTTTAGTTTCAAAGTTTTAGGTTGGTAGGGGAAAAAATCAAAGTGGAGGTGATTTCCTCCTTAATTTAAATTTATATGCTCAAACTTAAATTTCTTACTTTTAACTTTCTTTAGTTTTGGTCTCATTGGGTTATTATAATGAACAAAACCATGTTATATATTTTATTCTAACTATAATAGTTACTCAGTACTTGATGTAAGCATCTTTAACAAAAACTGAAACCTAGGTCTTTGGGATATAACTTCAAAAATATCGCCTACATCCAAAGAACTAGTGGATTCACTGCAAAAGACACATTTAATAACAAGCAAATGAACACAATACCTACTTAAAATGATCCTTATACACCAAATTTGCTCTGGCACTTCTTATGATCTCTTCAGCTAAGCACATCAACGCCTTCACTATCATACGTTCCACTTCATTAAATATCACACCTGGTATAATCTCTTGCGGTCGCAAAATTATGCCATCTTCTAAAGCAACTTGCTTTATGTAGGAACATGCCAACTCCAATTTTTTATCCACTATTTTGATTTTGTATGTAGGAGGGTTACTGCCTTTATTTTTGTCTACAACAATGCACAACATTTTTAGTGTTACACACACTTTCGCATGTATTTCATTTAATGTAATGTTACAAACCTGTATGACCGATTATATCCACAATTTCATCCGTACTATCAGCTACAAGCATTTGAGTATTAATTACAGGTTCCGAATAATTTTCGAGCGCATCATCTAATGTAGGATTAATTTTTTTCTTAAATATTTCGTAATTAGCCATTGGAGTATATCCGTGCGATCTTGCGTACATAATGATTGATTTTGGTGACAATTTTTCACAACCTCTCACCTTGGCGTCGACAATAATTTTTTGTATCATTTTTGCTTGATACCACTGCAAAAGATAATTAATGTGCACACATAAATTAAACACTACTCATACCTCTGAGCTTAGTCGCCTTCCAATGTTCCACTTTGAATATTCTTGTAACGATCTAGCGACATATGGGTATGTACACTTATAATCTAGATTTGATCCCAATTCTGTTATTAAGGGCATCTTCTTCAATAGATAAGCTAATGCTAGGCTGCAGTTTCGAAATTTGTCTTTTGGAAAATGCACCTCGTATTTGTGATAATTAATCAAGGTACTAAATGACGGCTGTTGCACATTCACTTGTTGACTTGCTTTAGGCAGCAATAATGAACCACTTTGAATCTTCTTTTTCAAGAAAGATTCTTGCGATTCCTTCAATTTCTTAATCGCAATTATACTACTATTTGTTACATATAGCTTGTCTGATCCACCTTCTTGCACGTTTTGGTTCATTAATTCAGAAATGTTGATGAAATATGCATTTTTATTTTCTGGTTCATCAGGTGGTTCTTCTGGCATAGAATCGGCCGCACGAGCGTAGGAATGTTCTTTAAACAAATCATGAGGAGGATCCACTTCTGATGCTGGAGGTTCTATGTCGGAGCCAGCTGTGCAGTAATCATGTTCTGAAGGTACCGTTACATCGTTCCTGTCTTCGAATTCTTCTTTTATGTGAACGGGGAGATAAGGTTCCAAATTCTTGTTCTCTTTTAGAGGATCATTTATTTTTTCATTCTTATACAGAAATAAGTTTGCCACGGTTTCGTTCCCTAAAAGCAATAAAATTGAATGAAATTATAGTTAGCTTTTAGCAACCATAAGCCATAGGCAAAAAAATATGTTTCACAAAAAATTGCATACAAATTTTCAAAAAAAGTGACGCAATCGCCTAAATGACGCCACACATGCGCACCTAATTGTGGTTCATACCCACATCAAGTGTAGGCATACAAGTTTTTATTATTTAATATTCTAGAAATGGAGTAATTGTCTTATTAGCTGTAGCTGAGTTTTTCAAATTTTCTGTTTGTTACTATATGTTCAAAGGTTATTTAAATAAATACATATTGGAATCAGTTCTGCTAAAAAGAGCTGACAAAATTAAATACATATCTCCATAATTAGAAAAATTACGAAATAAAAGTTTCTCATTTTCATTGGACACACCAAAAATGTGCATTAAATTCAAGATGGCAGTTACTGAAAGATGAATATCAGATTTCTTTTTTTTTTAAATGGGTGCCATATTGAATTTTTACACAATAATAATAATAATATTTATGCTCGACAAGTAATAATCCATATATGAATATGAACAACCATAAAACTACGTAAGAAGTATTTACTGCATTATTAAGTAACACTATTATAAAAAAATTGAGAAAATACTAAAGAAAGATATAATCAATAAAAAACATAAAGAAAGAAAAAAAGAAACGTATATGATGGTACACACACATGTTGCAAAATATAAAGCAATTCTATGATAGAAACCAAAATAATTATAATCTTTTTCAATCTTTGGCACTGGTGTTCGAAAGGTCCACCACTGCAACAATGTTCAGCAGCATTTTTATATAAATCAAATGTTGAATCACATGCAGTTCAATAAAAAGCAACACAAGAACACCTCTGCATTCAGCGTGATTTTAACAATCTAAAACCTTTATACGTATAGATATAATTTTATATTTGATCCCAAAGTAAAACTAAAGTATATGAAGTATTATAAAAATGTTACCCACAACTTTTGCCTTTTTTACTTTCCCAATATGCCATACTTGTGACCCAGTATCGTTGAATGAAAATACGTTACCTAACGTCTGCTGACCAGAAAATGTTTGATCCAGTTTCAAATTATGTATGATGTCTACAGGTTTATTTAGTGTGTATTTAAAAAATATCTTCACTCTAAGTGGAAATTCGCCCCATCCTCGCCGTGACAAATGAAAGGGTGGATGCCTTCAAATAATAAAACGTCAACATTAAGATAATCAGGTGATCACCTAATTACCTCATCTCCACAACATCATTTGGTGCATAAGATGGATGTAAGTAAAATACAACCTTCTCGACAAAGTGACTTATGTCCGGCTTCTCCTTGGATCCTCTAACATAAACCATCCACTTGTGTGTTGATTTATCTTCTTCACTTCCTGATGGCATCCACTTAGAAATATTGCCTACCACTATCCTGTATTTTTCTTTCTTTCGATTTCGTGTTGTATCATATTCTTCCTTTGGAGAAATTGGTAAAATACTATCACTTTTACTTGTAGGAGCATTAATTTCTTGTTCATTTGATTCTTGTACGATATCACTTGGTTCTATTTTGCATTTAGAATCAATTTCTTCAGTTGTATTTACATTTGTTTGATTTTCAAAATATTTCATCTTTTTTCTAGGCGATTTATTGAGATTGATCTTATAGTCGCCAAGACTATTCCCTATTATTAATTTTTTTACAGCAGGATGAAGACCATTTTTATTATAAAAATGTAGTTCAGAGCTATTTGAGTCATCATTTTCATCTATGAACATGTTCTGACCATTATAATAATTATTAATGAGAATGTATCTCAGTAAGTGTAGAGATTTTTGGGCTTTATCTAGGCGTTGTTGGATTAGATCTAATTGTGACTGTCGGTGATCTAATTCTGTCTTAAATTCACGATTAATTATACTTATTATCTTTTCTAATGTATCTTTCGTTTCTGAAAAAAGAAAAGAGTGTGCAATTGGTGATTAGCTACTGACTGTAACGAACCTCTACTTTCTTTCAGTTTCACATGTTCTCTTGCAACCTCCGTAAGCTCATAATCTGGATCGGGAACCGATTTTTTTGGACTACCCATAACTTTAAAAAGTTAAATCTTGGTAAGTATATAACGAACTATTTCAGACTTACTTTGTTGCTTATCAAAAATCTTAAGTTAGGTTATGTTTAGAAAAACGACCTTGAAACGTACACCGCTAACGTACAGAGCACATTTATTTATATATAGGGACACACAAAATTCGTTGTCACCCCCATTACCCTACACTAGAGCAGTCTGTGACTCAGCTATTCCACATCAATTTTATTAAAAGTACCGCCCAAGTTATTCATTGAAAGTCAGAAAGTGCAACTCAGTTTTATTATTATTGGGGTGCAATGGGTGATTGCAAGTATAATTTCTAAAATATATTGTAGAAATATAGCAGCCGATGTATCTTTTTGGGGAAGGGGAAAGCGGTGTCCGTCGTTTCAAAAGCACGAACGCTTCTTCCGGCCATCTTAAACAGAACCCTCACGAAAAGGGTATCATATATATTGTCATTAGATCATATATATACAGTGTGTCGCGTAGAACGCACCATAGAGAAAAGGCAAAATTTTTCGCAAAAGATCTACGTGGCCTTTGAAATTAGCGTTAAACATACTACTCCCAAGGATGCTATATAATAATAATAGGATTGCCAATCCATTCCTCCTGACGAGAAATTAGCTTTATTTCTCAGATGAGTAAGATTTGAAATTCTCTCTTCTGTACATTTTTTTTTGGGCCAAATTTCAAAACATTGAGAGCGCAGATTACGAGATCTTCTTTATTATAAACGTTTTAACACAAAAGCTCCTGAATGCAATTTCTGTTATAATTTTGGAGTTTCCCACACAGTGCTACAATGGTTTTTACCTTACAATATGAAGTGGTTAGCCTAAAGCTTCGCCTACCTTCAAAAGTCGAACTCCAACCCACACATACATTAGTATATCAGTAATAACAATCTTAAACATAACAAACTAATAGCGTTTTCGATTGGCAAAGCTCTCGTGCTGCACGAGTGCAATTTTTACGTTCTATTGGTAATTTTAGGGCAATTTTCTGTGTTCCATTGGCAAATGTGATGCAACAATTACGCACTCAGTGAAAATTTCGACGCACGAGGTCCGTGAGCGCGTGGAGCTGCTACTTAACAAATTTTCAAAACAAACGTGCGACAATTTGAATTCGTTTCTTGCGTTGGGAGAGTTTTTTGTCGTCATCTAGCGATAGCGAAGATGATGAACTAGCCATAACTTCTATTTTACAAAAAGTTGCACTTACTCATTAAACTGAACGCCAAAAATTGGTCCTTTACAGGAATTTCAAATTTATATTCCTCATCATTTATCATAAATAATACTGAAATCGTTTGTCATTTTTTAGAATAGAGATTTGTCGATTACCTAAATCTAAAATGAGGTTATGGACAAATGACAACAAATATTTACGAATATTTATGTTCCATTGAGAGCAATTTTCACATGGATTTCTTCAGTTTCTCGTGCAACACTCGTGAAGTACCAATGAATAAAGAATACCAAGGAAGGAGAATATCAACAATATACGTGCGACCGCGATGGCTTTTGCAAATGGCGGACAGTAGTTTCCTGTTCGAGTGGCGTACCTACCTTACAGTTGTAGAAGGATACAATTATAAAGAATTTTACACGAAAACAATCTAAACCCCCATGTGTCTACTCCGCCTATGACTTTTGTTTAACTAACCTCAAACTACATTCCGATAAAAATTTGTAAATTTACATGTACTATGTAAAAATAATATTGGTATCAATACTTACAGATGAAATGTAATTCCCAAAGTTTTATTTTTTTCTGTTTTGGAGCAACCACAAGCACAACAACTAACCATTCTTTTTATGTCACTGCAACAGCCACAACAAAAATGACTCATAAGTGGCTTTTGCAAATGGCCGACTTCCGTCGCACTCTCTCTCGTATACAACTTGATTAATGTTCCTTCCTGGTATTTTTTATTCATTGTGCAGTACGAGTTTTGCCAATCGAAAACGCTATTAGTTTTATACAAAATATCACTACCTACACAAATATGTAAAGTTGTCTACTAAGGTGAACTACGAGTAAAAAATAAGAGGAGAAAAAATAACGGTGGTGGGAAATAGAATAGCACGCGACGGAAGTCGTCATCATATTACTTACCTTTGCGCTGGTCAGTTATGTCGGCTTGACTTATCATAAAACAGAAGAGACGATGTCAGTTTGGTTTTATTATATATTTATTATACCACTGCCAATAATTTTTGTCCATTTCCGTCTCGACCCTTTTTAATGCAAGGTTCTCTCCTTTTATTTTTTATTCGTAGAAGGGGAATGATACACAAACAAATCAACTCTCCTCAAACTAGAGACATCATTTTTTAAAAGAACGCCACCATTTCTTGGTACGTGCGCTTTCGTTGCGTGGAGGCGCTTCAAAAAATCGCTTCGCACTACTTAATTGTGGAGCTGCAAATCGCCAGTTGATTGTAAAATGTGAATACTACCCCAAATTGTTCTTACAGACCAATACTGCACGTCGGCGTCCAAGCAATGCAATATAGCGAACACACAGTTTTAAAACACTGCGGAATGCTCTCATCCGCCATTTATTCTTTTTTCTCCCTTGGCTTGACTCACTTTTTGGTTCATTGGGAGGCGGTGGTATCTGGTATCACAAACAGCTATCGAGACAACCGTGTAGCCTCCATTCGCCAGATCCGCCTGCACATCATCTATAGCGGTTTCAACTGCGGGGAGGCCCCGTATAACCACCTTTAGAAGTTGCGGTAGATGCAGTATATATTAACCATATTATACGGCAACCGCCCGGCGCTCATGCTGATTGCTTTTATAGTTTTTCATATCACAATCGTGAACGACGTTATGTTTTAGTTTTATTCATTTAATTTTAACCTTGCCGTGCATTTTTATTACTCAATGTTTACTTTATGTAAAGGGTGACATGCGAAATTACGTTTGAGAAAGTATAAGTTAACAAAATCATTATGAGGTGAACTTTGTCATTAATTAAGAACTGTGTCTGGCACAAAAAACTTCTCCCATGAAATGCTGAATGAATCGGTGAACGCTACCAACCATTCCGTCTAAAGACGTAGAATGCAGCCAAGTGTAATAAATGGCACTATCTCTCTTTAACATCAAGAAAAACTATTGTTTTTCTCATTTTACCGACGATATGTCAACTGTCATTTTGTGTAGTGTGTTGCGTTTTAACGAATTTTTATTTTGTCCAAAGCAAAGTGCTAAAAATAACTGTCAACAAGATCCCGTGGAGAAGTAGCCAATTTATAACACTATAATTAAATAACGAAGGATTTGGTTTAGGGTCAGTTACGTATGAATGTCTTTTAAATTAGAATGGATAGGTTCTGGGGGCATCGGGTTGTTTTTTCCTAGGTAAATATTTGGTACATGGTAACATCCTTGGTGATTATTCGCTTTCAGTAATGCATTTTAACCCAGATTTATGATGAGTACTCAATACCGGTTAGTTGACAAAAATTTTAAAAATAATATGGTCGATTCAACGGTTTTGGTGGAAGATGGAGTGGTTTGGGATCAAGGGGAGATACAAATGGGTTTAAATTATGAGCAAACGGAAAATGTTTTAGTAGATAATAATCGAGAAAGTTATTTGTCGACAAACGATGATGGAAATGGAACACAATACTTTTCGTTACTAGAGACCACAAATGAGAATGTCTTAAGTGATTTAAATGACATCACATTGTACACAGATGGTAGTAGTCCAATGCAAATGCCAGAACAAAGTGTTAATGTGATTTGTGCTTTGGATGAACAAAATCAAAGTGTTGTGGCCGTTACTGAATCAGACGATTTATATGCATTTCAAGTTGCTTACGATGACGATGGAAATGTTCACAAATATAGATATATGTTACGGTTTGTGCAGACAATGTAAACATTCCATAAATCCTTTAATTAATTTTTGACTTTAGACTGAATGAAAATGGAGAATATGAAAGTGTTCCCGAGTCCTTAGAACTACTTCCAGATGAAATGGAATTGCCGATTAGCGAAGTGCTACCTATTGAGGAACCACAAGTGGAGTTTGAGAATAATCCGAAGGTCGCATTTCAGAATGGCGATCTGATTGTTAAAAAAGAGGAAAATGAGAGAGTTTCTAGCCATACGGATGACAGTTACCAAGGGCTGGAAGTGAATGAGGACGAGCAGATTTATGATAATCAAATGTTTGAAGAAAATGTAGATTCTAAGTTAGGTAGGTACAGTTTAAAGCATATAAACGGTCTGCACTGCTACTGCTTGTGTATGATGACAAATGCCATGCTTCAAGGTATATAATATAATATTGATTTGCAATTTGCATCTTCATACACTCAGACAAACTGTCTATTAATGAAATGCAGGCATTTCACGATTCCATTGTGTAAAGAGTAGAATAAACATATTCGGCTTCCCTTTGAGTGATTTATAGTACCTGATGCTATGTTGATGCCAGTTTCAAAATTGTAATTTCAATTAAGTCCGGGAGCGAATTATCCGGGCACGAATTGTCCTACAACCCTTACACTGTACAGTTTTTGGATTATCGTACAAAGTAATTTTTTTTAACAGAATATATGTATTAGGGATGTAACGGAGCTTCGGTTCCGAATCCGAAAGAGCGGAACTTCCGATTGATTTTGCACTTACGATTCCGATTTCTGTTCAGACAAATTTTAATCAGATTTTATATCGGAGGTTTATGGACAGGGTCGGTGGCGGCCACAATCAGGGCGTTTGCGTACAAATACGTTGATACTTGTCGCGCGGGGAACCTTCCTCACCTCGTGCCTTCTGTTGATTACCTTTTCACTTGTTGTGTTCCTTGAATATAATTGGCTTCTTTTCGAGTCACTTAATTTGTTCTATTTACATATTAGTATTGTAATTTAAGATGTGACATGTCTCTTCTTTAAGGTTCCGATTCCGACAAACCAAAATTATCAACTCCGCTTCCGAATTCGGTTCCGATATAACCACTTCCGTTACATCCCTAGTATGTATCTTTTTAATTTCACTGTACTAAGAATTCTTTTATAAAATGGCAGCGCACATCTTTTGAAAATCTTGAAATATGGGAACGAGATGTGAAGAATTGCATACGATTTTCAGTAGGGGAATTAGGAATTTTTTGCCAGTCAGGCTTGTATTTGAAAACCAGACCTTAGATCCAGATCGTATTCAATAGCACTGATCCTTGATATGTTACTTGTTTTTATAAATATTAGAAAAACGAAGTTTTCATTCTTAAATTTTACATGGGATTAGTTTTTAGCACACTTGCTAACAACAGAAGCACATTGTTTGATTAATTGTTGGTCGTTTGGGAACCTTGTATAAATAGTTCGAGATCTCAATAATAGAACATTGTAGAACCTTTGGGATTTTGGCCTTAGGTTGGTACTCGGGTAGGTATTATTGAGATATTTGGCGACGGTGGGTTCATAGCTCTCCGTTCATCCGTTACGTTGGTCCGTCAAACGGATAATACATTTTGTTAAGGTTCATAGCAATCCGTCCACATTGTACATTTGCAACGTATAACCATAACCTAAATTTTATTTTGTACTGTACCCTCAGTGATTTTCAGTATTGAAAAATGGTACAAAAGTAAGAACACGTTGCTATCTGATTATTACCCTGAAGAACGAATAGGTGAACACTGTTAACGTACCAAACATAACCTCACTCTTGTTAAAAACGGACCAACGGAAACGTAAATGTTCAACTTCAACCAACTTTTCCGTCGTAAACGGACGACGTACGATTTAAAAATTTGCTGTCTTCTGATTGGCTAACGGACAAACGGAAACGTATGAACGGAGAGCTATGAACTTACCTTTAGTCTGAAAGTTACCGATCACACATTAGTGTATGCATGGGAGCGGTTACTACCCAACAGACACCTACTTAGCTAGCTCAAATTACACAGTTGCTCCTTTTTCCTTTTAAAATTTTTTCAGGGCACGACTGTATTCCGACACAACATGTGAGACAAATTTATGGTTAACAGTACCTTTTGAACACAAAACACCCATTTGCAAAACGGTTGATCGAAAAACAATTTAAGAGATCTGAGATTTCAAAAAGTGCTCATAGTTCTGCTAATAAGAAATTAAACAAATATAGCAAACAAGCTTCTGGGCAGTGGTATTGCACATTATATGACTCAAGTTATGCTCATTTTGCATTTCATGCAATTCAGTTGATAACCTACATTGCCAATTCACGATCTCCGATCAACAAATTTGATAAAGAATCCACCTGCAATATTTCATTGTAATCGGTCCATTCGTTTTGGAGTTATCGTGCTAACGGATAGCGCGGAATTATCAACTCGCTAAGAGCTCGTTAACAATCTAAATAAACTTGGTCAGGACAAATAATGTGATGATAGTCAAAGCACACAAAACAAACACTTAATTTTATGACTGTTCGCATCATAAGACTTTTCTTGTATTACACCAATTATTTCTTCGTTCTTGATAAACACGAAACTTTTTAAACTTGTAATTCCATGAGTAAAAACTTCTTCACAAAATCAAATTTGTTTCCACATTGCTTTGTTACATGAAAACGACTGCGTTTTTTTCCCTTTACAATCACATGTCCGGCTAAACTACCCGTGCAAATTAGCGTCACAGACTTTACGCTCTGTTTCAAAATAACCCGAGATAGCTCTATATATTCTTAATTCTTGCTATTTAAGAGAAAAATCATTTCCACTAATATATTCAACATCGCTGTGCCCCAGCAACACTTGAAATTCCGCACCGTCGCCTGAACTGATCGATACCTGCGGTGCTTATCTCGCACGTGGCGTTGTTTGTTGCAAAACCAATAATTAATGATTGCCAGATAATAACTTTTTACTAATACGTGACCAGATAACTTTTAACATTACGATTAAATGTTTCCTTATTTGTGCGTTTTAAATTTATATATATGTTACCGGCAAACTGCGAAATCCGGCATTTTGCAAAATTCGCGAAATAACGAATGCAACAGGCAAAGTACGAAACGGAGATGCAGTTCGCACTTTACCTGCGTCTCTTTAGGGATTTCGCGAAATGCCTAAACATGCAGGCATTTCCCACAGACTGCGTATACAGCGTTGTCATTGGATGGTAAGCGACGCGACGAATGCGATTTAATTTAAGTACTCGCTAAATATTGCGCTCACGTTTATAGTGCAGCGGAGAGCCGGCGCTAACTCGCTTATTTGAGGTAGTTTTTTTTTTTCGGAGTAGAAAGAATTGGGACCCACACCATTTTGTTCAGAAATGTTTGAACCTTCAGAATCTCGCTTTACGACATTTTCCCGTGGTCCCGACAAAAGTTATAGGCCGCTAAAGTTGAACTTTACTCATTTTCGCGCGCGCGACTAGACCACCGAAAGTATTTATTTTCTCAGCAACTAAGCGATATACATCAATAATTCCTTTTGTAAAATGAAAGTACATTTATAGCAGAATCTAAAGCGCATTCATATTTACCTACCTTGTTATGCACAGTTTTTAGAAAAATGACCGTCAACTTCCAAAATTCGTGTAGCAGATGAAAAGTGCGCACTTTGAACTCTCATAACTTTTTATTTCACGATATCGATTTTCAATATTTATAACTCATTCGATGCTCCAAAGCATTGTGATTATTTTATTTTCTATAACATTACCGTGAATTTTTCATAATAAAAAAGTTACGGTCATTTAAGTAAAACCCTACCGACCTCGCCGAGTCGGGAGCCGCGAGTGAGACGGAGAGGGAAGGATAGTCAGCAGCGCAACAAGGAGCGATGCGTAAGAGGTTCTACTTTACTAAGAAATTTCTCTCCGAATACCAAAACTAGCTATTTAGGCCGTTTACAAATGCATTCCGCCGGGTTGCATTGTAAATTCTCAAACAATTCATTAACTCCATGTATTCGTTTAGGAGCTACCCTCAAAAAAGTGGTAAAGTTTCCATTTCTCCTTTAATTTTTTTCTCAGCAACAGTTACAGAGACTGGTGGTAAGTCTTTGAATAGGTTTTGCTGTATGCCCTTTCAGGTTTTGCAAATAATTTTTCAAAATTCCTACCACAAAAAGGCACACCCCTCAATAGGGGTGCGAAAAAATGTTGATTTCGACGAAATTTGGTATCTGGTGGTTTTTGAATATAAAAATCACGAATCTGAAATTAGTTTTTGAAAATTCGAAAAAAATAATTCCACTGCAATTCTTGGCCGGACAACGAAAATTGACAAAATTCCACGAAGTTTGTTGTGTAGGTACATACGGAACAAAATTGTTGAACAGTTTTTCTTAAGGTCATTTTTCAAACAAAAGTTACACTCATTTGCAAATTGGTCTTTCGGGTCAGAAAATGTTCTCCGACAGTGGCATAACAAGTACAGTAAACGTCAATATTACATGTTCTGCTAAGGGTGTCTACCTACATTTCACAAAAATTTGTCAAATAAAAAATGATAATTTTATCACAGTGAGCATTCATAACTTCGACATCAATGAGGAAACAGTCACAGACAGGGTCGCGTCTAACCTTTTTCGGGCCCTAGGCACAGAAATAGTGTAGGGCCCCTTACCCCCCGGTTTGTACTTATATCTCATAAAAACAAAGGTACCTACTTATGGTTTCAATTTTTGTGTAACTACTAACTAATGCGCAAGTAAAGAAACTCAACTTTTACTAATACCTATTTAGCAACTGCGTTAATCGCAATATTCAATATAGGGTAAATCCTTTAGTCAGTTTTTAGTCCTTCACTTTTTCACTTAAACTATAAACAATAGCAAAACATTATCGTTCGTATTCGTATCAAGTCAAATAAAAAACAAGTTGTAAATCAGCATATGCATGATGAAAGCGTATTTTTGGTAATGCAGATCAGTATTTCATTAGCAAAGTTTAAAATTATCGATCTCACGAATAATCTAACTCAAAATAGACTAGAGCCTGCACATCTACACTATAACAGAAAGCTTTTAGTGAAAATTTAAGGTCTCTAGCAATTGTAATTCCTGCGATCGCAGCTGGACAGCCAGCCAGCCAGCCATAACGAATAGAATAGCGTATTTTTTCCCAAAAATGCGCTAAAAATAAACTATATTGTTATTTCTTAATCTTAACTTAATAATTCAAGATCAAAATCGCACAGAAATTGCAGGATTTGCACCATGCACCCACAATTATATTAATGATATTAAAATACGTTGTA